GAAATAGCACAGCACGCGATCCACTGATCATGTTTCGTAATTGAGACCTGGTGACATTATATTACGTAATTCCACAAATTCTTAGTAAATTACACTTGACAAACTATCACCAGAGATTTATCTGTCCGAGAAAGACTATATACTACGACATGTGTCTCAGTTTATGAGACAAATGGGACAAATTCAAAATCAATGCAATTATTTAGATCTGGAATTCATGAATAATATGAAAAGATTCAATGTAACAACTACTATTAAGGAGCAACCCCATGCACAACTGATATGACCTTTCATTATAACAAATTGAAAATACTGACAAGATTTGGTCTCAACGCACTGGCGTCTTAAAAAGCAAGTATTGATCGAGTGGTCAAAATGTCTGTTAATCGGGCTAGAACTTTGATTGTTGAAGGCATACACTTTCCACTGTCGGCTGGTTCACTGAGAGTGTGGTCGTCCTCTGTTGAGTGAGTGAGTGAGTAAGGATGTACGCCGCTTTTAACAACATTCCAGCAATGTTAGGGCCGGGACAGCAGAAAGGGCTTCACTATAGCGGTTGCAAGTCGTCTGCATGCTCGGAATCGATCCAGGGCCTTTGGCGTGACATGCGAAGGATTTACCTCCAGGCTACTCTCTCACTCGTATGGCTTACACTGATGCTAATATTATGTGGTTCTTGTAGTGTGTTATATGCATCCTCTGTTGGAGTAGATCTGTGCTCATACTATCGACCACACGTTTAACATCTGGATACGATCATAGCAATAGTGCTTTGGCTACCCTGATGAGACTCTAGGTTGTTGAAAGTGCCGTGGGGATTTTTTTCAGTTTTCTGTGTAAGATACTTTTGGAAATGTAAGACCGTGTTTTGTCGGCCCAGAGGTTTGTTTGTTTGGGGGTTTGGGGACTTTTTGAAAAACAAAATGTTTCAGTCATCTAGATTTTCTTGTGCCCGTTGAGAGAAGTTTCTGTGTAGGCAACTTATATACTGATCACATCAACCGGACTGAGAAATATCTCAACATGCAAGAACTGCCAAGACCAGTAATTTAGTAAGATAAATATACATAAAGATTCCCATAAAAGGTAATGGCAGCACTTTGGCCCAAATTGACTAGACAGCATTAAAGGATCAGTGGGCACTCTGCCCCGAAACAGACAATGAATAAAAAGCCATTTATCAAGAGACTCGTAATTACTGAGCAAACTAGTCGAAATTAGGTACTGTCAGTCAGCTCCGCAAAATGCCCAATTAGTGAAGAACGGTAGATGTAATTGATTCCCCGCCATTTTCTTCCCAAAGTCGGAATCTATCTTCATTGAGCACTTCCGGTGCCATGGCGGGAAGCGCCTTCAGCAGGGTTTTAAAGTGTCTCTTGTCATGGCTAAATTAGTCGCGATTACCGATATCTCCGCTCCGGGACTTATACCGTCAGCTAGGGGCCAACATTGATAGTGTTTGGAAATGTCCAGAGATTGTTTGGATTTAGAAATCTCAATCCCCTGATATCGATCTCCCGACTGTCACCGGTTCTCTGTACGTAGGTAAAGTGCACATCAACGGCGATCTGTGAACTGACGCATGCGTGATAGCACTATAAGCTCGGCAATAGAAAAGACTGAAATTTGGGTTTTACCAAAATATTACACGCGTTACCTGGGTGAAAACAATTGCCTGTTTAGTAGTGTTGGGAATTGGTTGAAATCTCACAATTGATGATTGCTTCATTACCAACGAACAATCATCGAAAAACATTGGTTAGAGTCATTTTTCAGATTTTCCTATCCAGGTTGTTATTGTAGATATGTATAACATGATGCAACTTGCTACTTTAAAGTGATGAGTAATATATCATGAACATAAACTTCCTGGAGTCTTCAAGAAATATTCAGTCATGACTTTTTAGTTAGTGATGTGAGTTTTCTAAGAATTAAACAAGTTTTCAGGCCCTGACCACTTCGAAGATATATGTTCCATCGTCAAGTGTTTCAAAGACTAAAAAAGGCAGTTTCAAAATCGGTTGTGTTTGATTATGAGAAAATGTGATCGATTGCTTGGTCGTTTGGTCACTTCGACCAATCTTCGAATATTTCAACTAATCGGAACACCACTACTGTTTAGAGATATTCATTCATATTATTCATGTAAATGGACCTTATGCTCGTGCTTAATACGTTATCATTAAATAGCAATGTCTTCTTTGTTTATTTTCGAGCCACCATCAAACAAACGTGTATATCCTATTCTGTTTCCCCTATGCATTTATATATCAGTTGATAGCAATGTCGTTTGAAGTAAGGAAACGTGATATTTCCGTTGCGTTCCATTAGAATAATGTGCTTGTATACAGTCAAACATTGTTGTGTCGAAGTTGAAGGGAACTACGAAAGTACTTCGAGTTATCAGTGATTCGGCACAACGGTGATTATATAAAGAAAGGAGGACCAAAGTTCGACACAGCAGTGTTTTACTGTATGAACGTGCATGCATGCATGTGTGTGTGTGTGCGCGCGCGCGCGTGTGTGTGTGTGCGTGCGTGCGTGCGTGCCTCGGAGAGACTATACTGCAATTTAAAATAGTTGCTCCACTGAGACAAACCCACTCTGAGCCGACCAGTTTCATCCCTTAATCCCGAGTTCGGAGACCCGTGAAGATCCGGGTTAGAATTGGCCTCCTGTCGTAAGAGACGACTTACGGGATTGGGTGGTCAGGCTCGATGACACATGTCCTCGGATCCCAATTGCGTAGATTGATGCTCATGCTGTTGATCCCTGGATTGCCTTGTCTAGACTCGATTATTTACAGACCGGCGCCATATGTTTTCTCAATATCTTAAAAGCCTCATTCATCTCCATGTTCCAAGCCGATTGCTCCGCTCGTCAAACTCCCTACTGCTTACACAGCCTCACGTCAAAACAGCCATGGGATCAAGAGCGTTCTCTGCTGCAGCCCCCCTATCTCTGGAACATTCTACCACTCACCCTAAAAGAAATAGAATCTGCTGATGCTTTCAAAACTGCCCTCAAAACTCATCTGTTCAAACTCTCTTTTCCATAGACATTGTCTACAATCTTTTCTCTTCATAGCGCCATTGAGCAATATCTTTTGGAAATAGGCGCTCTATAAATCAATTATTATTATTATCATCATAGCTGGAATATTGCTGAGTGCGGCGTAAAAAGTAAACTCACTCACTCACTTAACCCCGAGCGCCAGGCAGGGCAACAACAACTACCAACGTCTCTTCTTGTGATGCAGCGGAGGATCAAACCATCGCCCCATCGCTCCACGGCCAGACGCTCATTCCACTAGACCAGTTAGGGAGTCAGTTGTTTCATACTGACATCTGCTGACCATATACAAATTACTTTTCCACTTGTATCTGCGTTTTAGGAAGCAACAAAAATGAATTGAGATAAAAATAATTCTTGAATGAGTGTCTGCTGATTTAGGTCGGAATCAGCATGTGCACATTATGCAACACGTAATGATCGAAACTGGATACGTTAAATCAGTGGTTAACAGCATATGCAGTTGTCTCCGCCTACACAGTCAACCACGTCATATGATGTGACCACCCAATCCCCATGTTAAATACCATTTACGACACTCATATTATGCTGTGATTCTACCCCGTATTTCCCATGTACAACGGAGTGAATAGACGCAGTATGACAGCACAGCCATAAATGCCCATTTTAAGGGTTCAGGTTTTATTTTACGGCTTTCGTGAGCAGGATCGCACAATGTCTGGTTATTGTCTCGTCAAAACTTCTCCTCTCGCATTCAGTGTATGAAAGAATTAAAACGATTTTGTGATCATAATAAAATATCACTTGAAAGACATGGAACGCAATGAAATCAATATATCCTTAAATCAAAGGCACGGTCAAAGGATGTTCTCTGGCTGACAAACGGCCTCAATGCATCATCAAGATGACGTAGAGCGGCCATGCAAAAATCACAATCGATGTGACATTTAAAAAAATATTCTACTTTCATGTTGAGAAATTTGACCTGAAAGAGAAAAAAAGCATGTCATTGACTACAACACTCAATATGTCTTGCAGGATCCGATGATAATTTTATCATGATAAAAGTGCATAAGAGATTTCACATTTTTCACAATTTAATTGTAGGAATATACCGATATTCCTCACGTGACGAAACAGAGGGACGTGACTGTTCCCTTCAGCTAAACACTCATCTGCCTCTTTGAGGGCTCTTTGTCTGGGATTCCCAAGTACCCGAAGCTCTTTGTAAACATTGTAATGAAGGGGCGGCTTTAACCAGATTAGGAGTAAGTCAGACAGCTTTTAGCTCAATCGGCACCGGCTTAGTGATAGGCTCCAGTCTGACACATTGTTCTGACTGCACCGACTACGACACTCATTGCTGCCTCTCCGTTCTATCGTACGTTTGGACGAGATGTCCTTTCTTGACGAATTTAACATAACGTCGTTTCATATTTTAAGGTAATTTATTTTCTAAGTTTGTATTGTCTTTTGTGGATAGATTAGATCAAAGATTCAACAACGTCTGTTGTTTTACATTCTGAAACAAAACAATACTTATATATCCCAGGAATACATTTATCAAAGAATTTATGGATAAAATTGATTAAGTATATTCATTTTAAGAAACTTTACTATGTTTAAGATGCTTATCATTTATGAAGCTGCTTTTGATGTTTAGGGTTACCAGAGGTTTTTAAAATTTTGTTTCAAATCTGAATGAGGATTCGAACACGCGTTCCAACTTTTATACTGCAGAAATACATTTTAGGAAGAGTTATTTGCCCTTAGCTAATTAGGGGACCGGTGGATGATTGTTTACCGAGCAACATATTTCAAAGTAAATCCAGGATTGTATGGAGCATAAACTCATTGAAAATATAACAAATGACTAAGTATCTTAAATATTACAGACAAGATTATTTATTTGATACTTTTAGTCGGTAAAAAGGCACGATGTAGAAACAAACAATAACCAGTCCCCTGATACATTTGGAACCAAGTTTTACTTTCGTCTGCTGTCTGACTGCCGGGTCGTCTTGAAACAGCTTCCATCGGGCTTAATTTACAGTAATTACAATCATATAGCTAACAGAAGTCAACTATATTATTTAGGGGAAATTTTGAAACATGCACTCGACTCGAATGCTTGTTCAAATGGCAAGCACTTGCTTAGGGATACTGTCAGAATGAATCATTGATTTTGGGGTTGGCTATCTGTAATGTGAACGGTGCGTAATGGACTTAGTCACGACGTCTGTTAGTTCCTGCTGCAGGGTAAATGCTGTTGCGCCATTCCGGTCAGAAATGTCTAGCTTGTTACTTGGAATATGGTAACCAATATTTCCTATTAACGTTTTAAATCATCTTGTATTACGGTCACTATCACAGGAGTGAATGCTTTCACTAATTTCAGTTTGAGTTTCGGAGGCGAGTTTTCATCACAGTAGCTGGTATATCTTGGATATGGCTATTATTTCTTTTGAAATAAGGTATATTAATAGAAGCGATTGTTTTCATTAGATGCCATGGTCACTATTATACCAGGGATAATCTACAACATATATAGCCTCCCCTGATTATACCAAATGACCAAAAAACTGTATTCGTGAATCAAGTTCACCCATTATTCAACTTTTTTTTTCTATGTTGTGATATGTCTGTTTATACTTCCAGCAGTGTTGCGTACTGCCTGTCAGGCACACTGAAGCAGTATCATGAATGTGTTGAGCTGGTTTAGAAAGGATCAAGTTCAGAGGAGTACAGAGGATCAAGGGTGCAACATGGAGACAGTCGATGAACTGTTGAGAGAATACCAGGTATTTATTATTTATCCTGTTGGTGCCAAAGGCTCTCTGTTTTCTCCACTTGTCATGTATGTGTATACTGTTCATTATGTGGTACATGTCACCTCTAGTGGCTTGAAGCATGTTAATCTGTATTTCAGATTAAGATTGGGGAGCATTTGAAATAAGGATCCATCAATATTATATATATTTTTTTAAAGTAGGTTTTTCCGAAAAGACTCAATTGCTTAAAATTGATATTTTGGAATGTTGTTAATGAATGTAATTTTCCCCGTTGAATATTTTTCTGTCATTGTAATTTTATATGTGGTGGTACTGGTGGTCCAGTCATCTAAGCTTATACAATTTACTGTGGTGAGCTGAATCCCAAGGGCATGAAAGAAACTATAATTGTGGGTTCATATCCAGGTTTGCCCAAATTATGTGTTTGGGTTTGTTAGCACCATGCTTGTTGGTTACATGGAAATGGTTTACATCTAAGACTGTCATCACTTCAGTCTTGGTTGATACATTGTGAAATAACAGGTCAAAGCAGCATTAGACCCAACTTACGCACTCACTTATTTGTTTTTCATATTTTCAGAGGAGTTGTACCCCAGAACAAATGGGAAAAATGCTTGAGAAAATCCAATCACAGAACTCAGTTCAGCATAAATTAGTGCAAAAGCTATTATTTGAAAGAAATCATATCATAAGGATTAACAAGGAACTGAGTATGAAAAACAGTGAACTTGAGAGAATATTGGAAAGGCAGCAGTGTGAGATGAACAGACTGAAGCAGGAGACTGGCTATGGGCAGACAGGCTATGGTGGTTTTGGTTATGGAGCAGACAGAGCCAGCTACAATGGAGGAGATGTAATGACACCCTGGCAGACCAGTGTTGATCCATCTCGGATGGCAAATCAGAGGATCCCAGACCATCTTAAACGAAGAAAGTTGCAGAAAGGTAAATTAGTTGGCATGTATGATGATTATACATTTCATTAATTTATAAGTCAATTGTGCTACTGCAGTACGAGCTGCATAAGTTTTTATCAGACTGCCTTCTTTTAAAATGCACTTTCTCGCTCAATGAAAGTGACTTTACAAGTGAACATGATCTTCCAGTGAAAAAAAGTTTCTTATTCTTACAATGTGTCTATTTGTTATGATTCATACAAGTGTAAGGTTAAACATCAGTATGTACAGGTATTGATAATTGGGAGATTTCTTTGCTTCGGGAAGATTCAGCTTTGATTACATGTGAAGCTTCTCATAGTGTCCCTTGCCATGATATGTCTAGATTATTATTGTTAGGAGCAGCATAAATCCATGCTTGTTCCATCACTGTCTCTGTGGTAAAAACATGCAAATTCCATTTGTTCTTAAGATAGTCTGTGCTGGGTTGATTATGTATGTACAGTGGTCAGATTCCAGTTAATTGAAACTTACCTACTCTATATTGACAAGGTGAAACAGATTGGTTTATTTTCTTGAACCATGACTTATTATACTCCAAAATATATGGGTTTATTTCAAATTTGGCATTGATAGAAATAATTTTGTATGAAAAGCTGATGCAATCATGTAAATGTCCTTACATGATTTGTCTTGAGAAATGGCTGATTGACATTGCCAGTTGTCTTATAACCCTGATCAGTGGATTAGTGTGTACTTGATATTTATCTCACCACCGGAGGATGAACAGAGGAGTATCATGAAATAAGTTACATGCCTATCGGGACACCAGATTTGAAATATCAGTGATGGGCAGGACCAAAGATGCTAGCGGGACCAAAGATGCTGGCAGCACCAAAGTCAAGATGCTGTACAGTCACCCAGCCAAACATTTGCTGCAGCTGATGTTGCTTAAGTGTCAGTGTTTTGGGTCCCATGCACTGTTCACAGGGTCATGTGATCTTACATTTAGGCCTTGTTAGTATGTTACCTTATAAGTGTCTTCTCAGCAAAAAACTGTACTCTACAGTGAGCAGAGAAAAGGTAGAAAGCACATGTGATACATGTCTTACCTTAGGCAAGTGAGTTTGTTCAAAATTGCCTCTGTTCACCCAGGACCTGTGAAGATCCGGGGTAGACTAGGTCTTCAGCAACCCATGCTTGCCACAAAAGGCAAATATGCTTGTCAAAAGAGGCGACTAATGGGATTGGGTGGTCAGGCCCGCTGACTTGGTTGACACATGTCATTGGTTCCCAATTGCACAAATCGATGTTCATGCTGTTGATCACTGGATTGTCTGGTCCAGACTCGATTATTTACAGACAGCTGCCATAAAGCTGGAATTTATAAACTAAACTCACTCACTCACTGTTCACCCAGCAGAAAATGGGTACCTGGTGGGATAAGTCATTTGACTATAATCTTCTAGCGCCTAACAGGCAGCTTGGGTTATCTGGGTTAATAGTGAGCTGTACTTTAATTGTTAGCACTATGAGCATACCTGGTGTGGAGTTTGGCGCTATATAACTGGATACATTATTATATTATTATATTTTTCCTTATCCTGACTCATGTATTTTTGCTTGTCTCCTTTCCTTCCCGAACGTTAGTGGAACACTTGTATCTCCTTATTGAAGCTCCCTTCAATAAACAGATGTAAAATCACTACTCACCATGAGTTATCTCCCTCTCAAAAATTCAATTTAATAAATATTTATTCTCTGTACTTAGGCGTGCTAGCGACAAATCCAGGCGACTTTTACAAGTCATGGATAAACCGGTTGAGTCCTTCACGAGCTGTCTATCGTTGTCAGATGACTTACTTCCATCAAGTGACCTGCCGGAGATGTCCTCGGAGGATGGGCGTGGGATGTTGTCCGCCACTTCGAAGAAGAGGGCTTCTACATCGGACAACCCCTCAACGCAGACGAAGAAGAAGAAGCCTTCCTCTACGCAGAAAAAGCCTCACACCCCTAAGACGTCTAGCAGCTCTACGGGGACGTCTGCGCAGACTACAAGGACCTTTTCGGACGAGATCGTCCCGATGGAAGAGAGAGGACTATATGATGAGCCGCTGCTGATCATCCCTGAGATACAGCATAAGAGGAAGAAGCAGGCTTCTGCAACGGTAACGTCAGCAGATCTATCTACGCAGTCCCAGGTACCATCTACACTGGCGGCAGATGAGCGATCCCTGGACCAAATCGCTACCAGCGCAGAGAGGGCAGCTCTTCAATCATCGCAGACGTTCAACCCCGGGACCTTCATGCAGCAGTTCTCTCAGCAGATAATGGAGATGATGGAGAAGCGCTTCGCGCAGGAAAGAGCATCACATCAGCCACATGGCTCCCATGCTCAAGGCATCACCCGCAGAGAGGACCCGGACCTGCACGAAGACAACACTGACGATACATCGGAGAGGCCCTCCAGCGAAGCTAGCTCCAGGAACAAGTCTGCGCGCAGGATGGCACGCTCGTCTTCAGAGGAGGAGGCAGAGGAAGAACCTTCACGAAGGCTACCCACCTCACAGAGGAAGAAACCTAGGACCAGAGAGACCTTTAGGGACTCGCACCCTCATCAAGATCTCTCACCTTCGCGAAAGTCATCAGACGTAGCCTCAAGGACATCATCAACATCTCGCAGATCGTCACGGGATTCACCGAGGCATTCACGAACCAAGAGACGCTCACCTCCACGCAGGTCTCCACGCAGGTCGCCCTATAGACGCAACTCAACGGATTCATCTCCACGCAGGTCTCCGCGCAGGTCGCCCCATAGACTCAGCTCAACGGGTTCATCTCCACGCAGATCCCCAGCGAAGGACGATCAACCATCTCATAACAGTGGACCTGATACAGAGGACAACGGCGGTATCATCTTCTCGGACTCAGAGATAAAATATTGGATGGCTAATGGACTGGACTTAGCGTCACCCTCTAAGGAAGAGAATGCAGCACTCACGTACCTAATGAAGGACGATGATGTCGACACGATCACTTTACCGCCAATTGATCCCATCTCGGAAGCACCAGAGAACTTGGACGCAGCCTTCAGGAAGGCAACGAAGTCTCAGGCTCTGAATATCCCACAGTTCAGCGCAAAGAAGTTCTCTCTACACAACATGGACCCCTTCATGAAGGCACAAGAAATCGATGAGAACTATAAGATCATCAACGACGCCTGGACCAAATCTTACAAGATTGAGGACAAAAAGCTGGCGCAGATAGACACGACAGAGGAGGACCGGATGATCTATTCTGCTCTACTCACGCAGAAGAAGGACCAGCAGTTTATGACGGACCATCTATCATCCATATCAGCAGCGTTGACGTTAGCTAGAAGACAGGGACTACTGTCATCCTGCAACTGGAGCGAACGCTTCACGAAGTTGCTGTACAGAGCCCCATGGTCTACATCATCCATCTTCGCAGGGGAGATTGACGCCGCCGCCAAGGAAGTCACGAAGGACTCCAGGGAGGTCTTAATGATCAAGTCCATCGATACACTAGCCAGTGTCATCAGGCAGACGTCCCAGCACTACTCGGGCAAGTCCAAGTTTGCAGGCATCCAGAAAGCAAGAGAGAAGAAAATGGTGACCTCCAGAGGAGGAAAGGACTCTTTTCGTCGCCCAGCCGGCAACTATAGAGGACGATCCGGACGAGGCAGGGCACCCAGAGGTGCCGGAGGCTATAGACGTTGGAGGGGTTCGGAACGACTGGAGTCTTCCACCCCCAGCCGTTCCTGTACAACCTTCACAAGTGGGTGGACGTCTACAAAGCTACTGGGAGAACTGGGGAATTCTTCAAGATCCATTTGTATCCAACATCCATATCGCATACAACTACAAGCAGCTCCGCCATTAACAGACAAACCTCAGAAGTTCGACTTTACAACCCATCGGACAGAGAGGCTACGAGAAGCAGTCACATCTCTACTAACGAAGGACGCCATAGAAGTGGTGGATGAGGACCAGATCTCACCAGGATTCTACTCCCCAGTTTTCCTAGTACCAAAGAAAAACTCCAAAGAAAAGTTCCGACTAATCTACAACATGAGGGCTTTCAACAGAGATTATCTACGCAAACCACCAAGGTTCAGCATGATTCATCTACCACAACTACTACATCTCGTCCGTCCGATGGACCACATGGCCAGCATAGATCTACAGGACGCATACCTGCATATTCCTATACATCCGGAATCAAGGAAGTACCTGAGGTTTATACTGGATGGACGACACTACCAATGGAAGGTCCAGCCATTTGGAATATCATCGGCCCCCTGGTTGTTTACAAGAGTGACGAAGCCCATAGTCACATACCTATATCATCGAGGTCCACGCAGTGCGTTCTACCTAGACGACGGGATTCAAGTTCATCAAGATCCCAATCATCTCAGACTACAGCTGGACTTCACCATCAGACTGCTCAAACAACTGGGGTGGCTAGTGAATCTCTTAAAGTCGGACCTAGAACCTACACAGGACCTGAAGTTCCTAGGAATCTGGTTCATCACAACTGAAAACCGCATAGCAGTACCAGAGGACCGATGGCTAAAGATACAACAGACGATATTGCAAGCTCTACTCTCTCTGTGGCCACTACGACAGTGGCAGAGTCTCTTGGGTCTCCTCGCGTCAGCACAAGACATGACACGCAGAGGGAGACTACAACTACGCCCACTACAGGTCTTCGTGAATGCTCATCTGGACGACCTGGACCCCTTCGGACTCCCGGACGGACTAAAACCATATCTACTATGGTGGACCCAGAGATCGAATGTTTGCGGAGGCACCTATTTAGCAGAGCCGGAGTGCAAGACACATCTCTACGCGGAAGCATCTCTCCAAGGATGGGGAGCACACCTCGACATCGAAGTGTCAGCTGGGACATGGACCATAGAGGAGAAAGATCTGCACATCAACATGCTGGAAATGAAAGCAGTGATAAGCGCCATTCTCCACTGGACCAGCATTCTGGAGAATGCTCATCTGACAGTACATACGGACAACTCAACAGTGGCGTTCTACATAAACAGACAAGGATCAACAAGGTCGGCGAACCTTCTGGACCTCTGCTTTCAACTGTTCAGCATAACAGACAACCTGAACATCCACACAAGAGCATGCCACATTCCAGGAGCCAAGAATGTGATAGCAGACGCGTCCCGTCCAACGCAGCCATCTCCAACAGAATGGATGCTACCTCCAGAGATCTTCAAGCAGATCATACAAGAAATGGGAGCGCCACTAATAGACCTATTTGCCACAAGATTCAACAATCAACTCATAACATTCGTCTCACCAATACCAGATCCACGAGCATGGGCAATGGACGCTCTAAACATCTCCTGGGAAGGACTAAACGCTTACGCATTTCCACCACCAGCTCTAATACCGAGGGTGTTGCAGAAAATCAGTCAGACGAAGATCCTATAACTGATTTTGGTCGCGCCTTACTGGCCAGCGAGAATATGGTTCCCCATTCTCATACAAGAACTAGGACCGCCTCAACTGCAACTACCAGAGTGGTCGAATCTGCTAGTACATCCTCACACAAAGCAAGCACACAGCAACCCAGAGGTGTTCCGGCTACACGTGTGGACTGTATGAAGGCGTGCTTGAACAAGAGAGGATATTCCGCCAGGGCAGCGAAAGCAGTCACACTAGCTCTACGCAAGTCTACACTCAACTTGTACGAGGACAAGTGGCGACGATTCGAGACATACGCTTTGAAGAACGGCTTCACAGCCATAAAAGCGACACACCCTCAAGTGGCGGACTACCTTTGTCACCTAAGACAAACGAAGCGGTTAAAAGGGTCAACACTCTCAACATACCTAGCGGCATTGAGCTCAGTTATCACCATGAGGACGAGTGCAAAACTGACGAAAGTACCAGAGTTACTGGCCTTGCTACGCTCTTTTTAAACTGGAGGACCAACAACAGAGATTTAAAGCTCCGGCGTGGGACCTCAACGCGTTCTAGTTCTGACATCTCACCAGTGGCGCTTTACGAACCATTAGATAAGACATCTTTTGAGTTCTTGACGCAGAAGATGCTGTTCCTGATCGCCTTAGCAACAGCAGCAAGGATGTCGGAAATACATGCTCTGGACTTTGAGAGAACATGGTTTGATGAAAATCAAAACATCGTGCATATGGGACTGAGATGGGACTTCATAGCAAAGAATCAACTGCCAGGTCAACCCGGACAGACAGTTCCACATCCCAGCACTATCATCAGTCCTTGGACCACAGGATACGCGACGACCTATCCTTATGCCCAGTGAGAGCATTGAAAGTCTACCTACAAAGATCTAAGACCAGGAGGCGAAAATTCAAGCGTCTTTTTCGTCCCGATATCGACAGCGACACAGACGGAGGTCTCCCGCACTACGATATCTATCTGGATCAGAACTGTCATACTAAGGGCCTACAAAGCAGCAGGACTTGATCCTCCAAGAGCCTCCAACCCACATGAAGTTAGAGCTCTGGCGTCAACACTCGCTCTACATGGGAATTGCTCTATCAGGACGATAATGGAGGGCTGTTTCTGGAAATCGGACATGGTGTTTGCCAACCATTACCTGAGGGACATCGCCACCGAGGACGTCGCCAGCATTCACCATTTCGGCCTACTTGTTGTTGCACAACAATTGACAGTCCCTCAAAGGCTGAGGCGGAGTCTCCAAGCCCTTTATCACATGACTTGCAAAAGCTTACACTCAGGAGAGTTCAGCTTATAGTCTATATGCACGTCTAAGACAGACTAGCATAAGTGATATGACCCACTACTTGTAAGGATACTCGTACAGGAAAGGGTCGCTTCTCCACTTGATGCTCGCATCAAGAGATGGAGTTGCAAAATCCACATAAAATGTTAAAAGAAGCAAGGACCAAAAGTTAACAATTGTGGTCCCCCCATCAGAGAAAGCTGGAAGTAAAGGGTTACAGCAGCAGCAGAGCATAGCAGTAAAATAGAAGTTCCCATAGGGGGGTATGCAAGATGTAAATCACTACATGGAATCCAGAAGTGGCTTGACCCACCACCAAATCTGACGGATTGTACAAGCAAAAATACATGAGTCAGGATAAGGAAAAATATGTAATTTTCTGAATAAAATTGATATTTTATACTTATCCTGACTCATGAAGTAAGCCCTCCCAACCTCCCCGCTAGACACTTTTGGATTTCCCTGTAAATTAAAGTGTCGGGCTATTAATTCGGAGAGAGTGAAGCGTGGGAAGACGGGTCCCGCCAAAACGGCGAGGGAGATAACTCGTAGTGAGTAGTGATTTTACATCTGTTTTATTGAAGGGAGCTTCAATAAGGAGATACAAGTGTTCCACTGACGTTCGGGAAGGAAAGGAGACAAGCAAAAATACATGAGTCAGGATAAGTATAAAATATCAATTTTATTCAGAAAATTACATTATCCAGCAGGTTTTACTCATCTGAAGCACTGTTTATGAAAAACCTCATTGTACATGTATATTTATAAGTCTTTGTGAATAACAACAATGTTATGTGTGATGCTGTTGTCCTTGCAGTGTATGTGTACCTGTACAGCCCCCAACGTGAGCAGATTCCCCCTGTCAGTGACATCACGTCACGCATCGGAGAAGAGCTTCTTCAAAGGGACATAGAACTTATTCCAGAAACGATCGACGAGACCCCGGTACCAGAACAAGCCAGACCAGCTATATTGCTTTGTGTTAATGTCTCCAGACTGGGCACGGATGTCTCCAATGCCCTGAAAGATGTCAGGGGTAAGTCTGTCATCTACAGTTGTTATTTTGGTGAATTATCTACTCCTAGAGGAATCAGATAGATATATAGTGTGAAAACAAATATCCACAGGGTGAGGACAGAATTTAGATGAAACCTTATCATCAAGGTGCAAATAAATTAGGACTTCAAACTATCCCTATGAATCGGATGATTTTTTAAAGTTCCCATTAAATGTAGTATTCTGTGCAATAATCTAAGACTTAAGAATAAAGTGTGTTCCTTTTCATATTGTTATATACATGTATATGAATCATAGTTTAAGTTAAGAGTGGCAGTTATTATTATACATGTACATCTATGGAAATGTTCTGTTTCCAGCGAGTGAGGATGTGGCTGTTGTTGTTCTCCATCACAAAGACATCCATGTTCTGCCTAAACTGTCCAGCGAGAAGAGTTTGACAGGGTCCGAGTTCCAGGAGCTTGGTGCCATTGTAGATATGGCCTTCTGGAAGGAGAAGGGGTTGCACCAGTGTGATATCAACCAGACTGCTATCATGAAACTTGCAGACTTTCTTGCAGACTATGCCATTGCATAAAGAAAAAGGTGAAGGGCAGATCATGTTAAACAGCAACAGTCGGATGCTGAAACATCAGATGCACAGAGTCTCACCACTGCCTGTTGAAGCCCTGTCTGGTAACCATGGTCACATGTTGGAGTCACAGTCACTGCGATGCTTTAATTTCTTACTACTGACTGACAAAGGGTTGTCTGGTAACCATGGTAACATCTGTTGTTGAAGATGTTCCTGTAGTGCTGCAATGCCATACTTCCTCTTTCTAGGGAGGTGATACATACGATGCCTTGCTTTTACATGTAGAGCCTTGAGTAGATTTGCAAAATAGAAGCATGACTATTTGCCTTGACGTCCTGTTTCATGGTAACCATAAAGTAATACATACCAAAATGAGGGTGCTGTTTTGTCAGCTATGTCAAGACACCAAAGACATTGGGAGTGTGTGTGTGTGTGTTAAAGTATCGGAGGTTTTGTGTTTTATTGATACATTTGCCCATGGTGTGTGCTCATTTTGATTATGTCTTTTTTGTTTATGCATAGAAACAAATGAGACCTTAGGATATAGACAACATAATCCTGAAAATATACTGAGGGACAAAAATAGGGGATCACATGAAAGCACAAGTGTTCCTTTATTTCTTTCCAGATTTCTTCACAAACTATGCGATACAACGCTTGTGAAGAAACCTGGAAACACATAAAGGAACACTTGTGTTTTCATATGATCCCTTATTTTTTTCCCTCAGTATATATGGTCCCAACCAAGCATCCTTCTCACATCAGTACCCTATTTATCTGGATTAAATATTGTCACATGTTCTTATTGAATGTTCAACCAGGTGTCAGTGCTCTGTCAAGGTGTACTATCAGTAGTATGTTTTTGAGGATGTAAATGTATTTCACATGAAAATGTCAGTAATAGATGGAGAACAAGCAACGGTATGGGATATCAAAGTACATTTGCAACAACAGAGGGCAATGCAAAGACAACCCTACTATTATTAAATATGTTCCTTATATCCCTTTTATTGTGCATTTTCATGCGTTTCAGTATAGTTCTGTTACATTTCTATATATTTCTTAGAATGCAGCCAAATCCCTGAATCCCATGAACAGTACAATTGAGATAAGTGAAGAGTTACTGCTCATGGAGGCCAAACATGCTGGGCCTGGTGTGTGTAGATCTTCAAGCAGCTGAAGCAGTACTGCTGGATAAAGTCATTTCTGGGAAATAACACAGGATCATGTGACATATTGTATCTGCTAATGGATAAGGGCCTTTGTCAGCACACTAGCTTGGACTTGAACCTTAAACTGTGGCTCTAACAGGCACTAGAGCCTTTGTCAGTGCGCAAGCTGGGACTTGAACCTATAACTGTGCTCTCACAGGGACTAGAGCCTTTGTCAGTGCGCAAGCTGGCACTTGAGCCTGTAACTGTGCTCTCACAGGGACTAGAGCCTTTGTCAGTGCGCTAGCTGGGACTTGAACCTATAACTGTGCTCTCACAGGGACTAGAGCCTTTGTCAGTGCTCTAGCTGGGACTTGAACCTCTAACTGTGCTCTCACAGGGACTAGAGCCTTTGTCAGTGCGCTAGCTTGGACTTGAACCTATAACTGTGCTCTCACTGGGACTAGAGCCTTTGTCAGTGCGCTAGCTGGGACTTGAACCTATAACTGTGCTCTCACTGGGACTAGAGCCTTTGTCAGTGCTCTAGCTGGGACTTGAACCTGTAACTGTGCTCTCACTGGAACTAGAACCTTTGTCAGAGCGCAAGCTGGGACTTGAACCTATAACTGTGCTCTAGCTGGGACTTGAACCTATAACTGTGCTCTCACAGGGACTAGAGCCTTTGTTAGTGCGCTAGCTGGGACTTGTACCTATAACTGTGCTCTCACAGGGACTAGCCTTTGTTAGTGCTCTGGCTGGGACTTGAGCCTGTAACTGTGTGCTAGCTGGGACTTGAACCTATAACTGTGCTCTCACTGGGGCTAGAGCCTTTGTCAGTACGCTAGCTGGGACTTGGAACCTATAACTGTGCTCTCACTGGGGCTAGAGCCTTTGTCATTGCGCTAGCTGGGACTTGAACCTATAACTGTGCTCTCACTGGGACTAGAGCCTTTGTCAGTGCTCTAGCTGGGACTTGGAACCTATAACTGTGCTCTCACAGGGACTAGAGCCTTTGTTAGTGCGCTAGCTGGGACTTGAGCCTGTAACTGTGCTGTCACTGGGACTTTAACCTATAACTGCTCTCACAGGGACTAGAGCCTTTGTTAGTGCTCTGGCTGGGACTTGAGCCTGTAACTGCAGTCACTGGGACTAGTACCTTTGTGCTCAAGCTGCAACTAGAGCCTGTAACTGTGCTTTCATAGGGACTAGAGCCTTTGTCTGTGCTCAAGTTGTGACTAGAGCCTTTGCCTGCACACAAATTATTATAAGTGCTTTTACTATAGGGAGAGTCTTTAGCTGTGCTTAAGCTGGGACAAGAGCCTTTAGCCATGCTCAAGTCAGGGCTGAAGTTATTAGCAGTGCTCTAACTGGGAGTAGAGTCTTTAGCAGTGCTTATGCTGGGACATGAGCGTTTAGCCATGCATTGTTTTACAGGACAATATCTTTGTAAATAAATGTTTATTTTCAAATTCTGTCCATAAATATATTGATAATGTTCATAATGTTTTTTATGTTGTATATGTCATCAACAGCATAACAACTCTATTTTGTTTGTTCCCATCAGGAATGATTCATAATGTGATGTAATATATTGGATGGTTGCTAACATTGTTATTGTTAAGATGGAGGTGTCACATTCATGGTGCTATGATAGGAATAAACCTTGAAAATACCACCTTGTAATATTTCTGTAGATAGTGACATTGTTGATGTCAAATGTGGACACATATTATTATTGATATCATCAAGATTCAGTTTTATGTCCATTGTCACCTTTTTTGTGATCTAAAGAACTTTGATGATACTGTAAAAACTTTTTTACTTAGTTCTTTGATATTCTTTTAGTTAATCTATCATGGCATGAGAGACTAATTGTAATGATATGACAGAAATTAGTGTTCTTCCTTTGTTTGGTGTTTTAGTAATTTATATTATGTTGATAATGTTTCATTTGATTACAGTCATGACAATGTCATCCAGTTATGACTGTAAAAACTCAAAACTGATCAGTTCCCAAATTAAAAATATTAATTTATAGTCAGTAGGTTTATGAGTTAATTGACAGATGTTTGAGTGATGTCATTCCGGTTTGAATGCATCAACAATTATCTGAGCAATATATTTTTCTCAGTTAAAGAAGATGCAGTCTATGGCGTATAGTTGCTGAAAAACCCTATCCATAATATTGTTACATGTGCTGTACTTCATAACATGGGCCAGGGGGAACATTTCTGTATATCTGATGTACCAGTACACATATATAATCTATTGTTGTTATATAACTTAAGGATATGTAGAAGTAAATGAAACTGGCATGTTATGTCATGTTTGTCCGCTTACATGATCACACAATCACATCTTGTTTAGGTTGGAACTGTATCCTCACTTAGTAGATAATCTTCTGATCAATTGGGCAACATGGTAGCCGAGTGGTACAACATTCACTAGTCATGCCAATGGTCCGAGTTCAATTCCCCACATGGGTACAATGTGTTAAGCCCATTTCTGGTTTTCCCATTGTGATATTGCGTGACATTGTGTAAAAATAGCATAAAACCATATCATTCACTCTAAAGAATCATTCAGTTTCATTACCCTCATTCCATGCGGGGTGCTGGGGTTGTCCATAGTGAGAGGTTAAAGTATTGGTTCAACAGGCTGTGCTTGGATATCCCACAAGGGTAGTCTTACTTTAACATGTGAAGTCCATCTGTGATAACCCATCATGATATAGGTGAAATATTGCTTGTAAAGGCATGATATCAAACTGTCATGAAAAGCAGCTATATCTAAGTATTTTGACTTTTAAAGTGAAAGATTACTAAAATAGAATAAATTCCGAATTAGGCTTCTGACTGATGTCATCCATTCTTGCGTTGATATCATACAGCCACCCTATGTCTAAGACATGCCATATTTCAACACAGACTTATGACTTAGACAATAACTAACGAGTGTTGGGGAATGACAGATTATCTTTCCCAAGTTATGTTAATTACAGAAGTCTCAAGCCTTGACAAGAGAATTACATGATTAATATAACAAGGGAAAGATAATCTGTCATTTCCCATCACGAGTTGGTTATTGTTTTTATTACTCATATCAGTTTACGATCTAAAAAATGCTAAAGTGAAAACCGTATTCACCATAAGTATTCCCGCGATGTGGGGACTCCCCATATCCCTACGACTTGATTGGTGGTTTTATTTTCTGAAACAGCCAATCAACATTCACCCAAAGGTGTAACCTCCCTTAGGACTTACAGGAAAAATACTACCCTGTGTCCTCCTTCTCATATGGGCAGTAACGTTGTAGCACTATGTTAGCTTCGTGGAACCAGCTCCTGCAGATTCTTCACCCAAACATGCAAGTTTCATTTTCTTCTACATCTCTTGAAGTCTTGATACAGTGGAAGTTTTGTGTTGCATTGAGTTGAATGCCAGATGGCATGTCTATGTACAATTGTCAGCTGGTTCACCTAGCCGCCAGCTACTGTGATATCAAGGATAATGTGTTGGTAGCTGGACAAGACAATAACTATTCTTTGGCTTCGGGGAGCGAGTGGTGTTTTTGTATGAAATTGTGATTTCTTTCAGGTGCTGGGATACCGTGGTAACAAACTGAAATAATTAAGAGAACATTTGGCAAACGAGAATCTATGCTGTTCAAAAGAAGTTAAGGAGCATCTGATTCTCTCATATTACAATAGTTAACTGGTCAGGGCATGAAAGTTCTAGAGGAGTTGGGTGCCTTTAACTTCTTTTGATTAGAATATATGTTGTATTGAAAGGTAGTGGACAAAGGATACTGAGATTTTATTGGAGTGATTAGGTACAATAACTCACATCTCAGAGTGATTCAAATGTATTAATTTTCTGAGAAATTGTCAGTATTTAGTGAGTAAGAAAGATATTGAAACACCCATACAGATATGAAGAAACACTACAGGAATTGATTATAAAGTTTATATATACATCAATGAACCTATTATTTCAGCTACTGACACATTCTTGAGAGTGATGCAAATTATTTATGGCCTTGACTTATGTCACAGAATAGGTCTCATGTATTTTGACTATTTGTGTACAGACTGTTGTTAATTATGAATTTGTTTTGTGATCAAGTCTGCACTGCTTCTGTTTGTTTGGTGATATGACTGACTTAGTCAGATGTGAGATCATGATCAGGAAGAAACAGGCTAAAATACCAAGGAGTAATTCACCGAATGGTTCGTCATCCTCAGTTATTTAGTGCATATTATCATCCTTTCTATTATGATAAATACCCTGGAATTATTAGCCACCATGCTTCTTTTTAGATGTATAAAAGTGTTGTAGGGGCGGTGGTAGCCTTGTGGATAAAGTGTAAGACACTGTTTCGATTCCCCACATGGGTACAATGTGTGAAGGCCATTTTTGGTGTGCCCTGCCGTGATATTGCTGGAATATTGTTAATAATGTTGTAAAACCAAAGTCACTCACTCCTTTTTAATCTGATTTGACAATTTTAGTCTTCCAATCTAATTGCCTTCGTGAACAAGAGAGTTTGGAAAGACTTCCGCCCGTCGTATCCCCCTTAAATTTCATTCTAGTCAAATCACATTACCTGAATATATATCCCTCATCTGATACGATGAGTTTTAACGTTTCTCTAATTGTAACTGAACATACTGAAAGACATATCCAACTTCTAAAAGAGCCACTCAAAGAAATATTTCCTTATCTTTAAAATTGGGGGTGGGTTTACGGGCGGAAGTCTTACCGAGAATTTGAATGCAAAGTTAGTATCAAATGGGGCAGAGATGACGTTACTTTAGAAATGGACTTTGATTGTGATTGTGTCGTCCAAGGTATTTTCATAATAGAAAGGTGACAATGAATACACTGTACGGATATTGTTATCGGGTTTAATCTTGACCAAACCCTAAGATATGAAAACAAGTTTAATGATGTAAAAGAAGCATGAGTTTATTCATTCATGGGAAGTAGTGTTTTTTATTATCTTGTTATCAGTCACAAGTTCCATCTGACAATATCTTGAACATATTTTAAGACCTAAACTGATGAACATGTGTTATGACACTGATACTGAATTTTGTAATAAAGTCCATAAACATCTCATCAGATGCGTTTGTTTTGGGCTGAGCTATAACATATTTTTTTTCCAGTGAACACGTATCATTTATGTTTGGTGTAAGGCCATAATGATACTTGATTACCATTTCTAAGCATACTGTATTTGTATAATACAATTACAGTTAGATGTACATCCCCACATCTCCGGTCATGTACAATGTACAATTTCTGATGTCCTGTCTTGTTTGAACAGTGTGTTTATGTCCATCTAGATACACATAGGCCCTCAAATAAAACCCATAATGACTAGTTGTTTTCTTTTTAAACATGATCTACTTTTGGTTCCTTTTAGATTCCTGAATCTTGACGCAGATAATTTTCAAGTGGACTTCAATCAACACTATCGGTTTTAGCTCATTCTGATGACATCGTAATATTGTTAAGGCAGTCATATCTAAGCATTTAAACAAGTAAATGGATAGGAAATGCGAATTATATAGAAATTATGCATCAACTATGACATGATACAAGACACTTGATATGGATGTGCAACTTCTTTATTATTTACACACGTTTCTGGGGTAATTCTTGCCCCTCCATCATTCACCTGATGAAGGGGCAAGTATTTGCCCAGAAACGTTGTGTGTAAATAATAAAGAAGTTGCATGTCCATATCAAGTGTGTTGTATCCCTACCGACTTCTAAATGCCTATCAAACATCTGAACTATGACATAGTTTAAGTCAGAGTAATCATATGAATCTGTTGATCCAAGCAACATCAACTCTGGTTAGGGATATACTTCCACAATCAGATTTGCAACATGCCCGTTTTAATCATTTCTAAGTTCACAGTGATGTTTTTGTTGAAATTGGGCCTCTTCATCCTGCTCTGAAACTGTTTTACATAAATGTCTTGAAACATGACACTTTATATTACCTATGTAGTCATCAATTACAAACAAAATTAATATCAAAATACATGTGGGAGCAAACTTTGTCCAGTCATTTAGGGTGATGCAGTTTGCTGTCTGGAGTTGCCTCCCTTGGACATGCCAGCCGCCTACAATCAGTGGTTAAATCCCAGTCCTCCTCCTTTGCTTGAGAGTTTCACCAAAAATGTAAACGTCTAAACCCTGACTTTAGACTTTCCTTCCATATTAAGATAACATGACATTGTCCTGATAGAACTGTAAAGAACAGGAATACTGTTCTGGGTGCCGTTGTACAAAACGATCTTAGCGCTAAGGTGACCGTAACTCCCATACCTTAACATAGACTTAAAGTAGCCTTAGCTCTAAGGTTGTTTTGTACAACGGGACCCTGAGCAACACTGAAGCCAATACACACAACAAAACCCAAAATTGAGATATGAATATTTTTTATTAAAGACATTTTGTTCTTTGACAACATTAACCTCTACGTCAACATCCCTGCAAGCATCAGAACTGGACAGACACATTGCCCTAGCTACAGATGCATCATATTGCAATGCCCATACAAATGCATGCAATATCGGCTCTAACACACAGGTAAGTAGCACTGGTGCTTGGGGGTCAGCAGACATGGTAAATCCATTATGGAACACAATAGAGAATGGTTTCATAATAAAACAAGAAAACAAAGCGTAACATCACTGGGAAAAATAACAAACATGTTCATCAGAAAAGGGGTGAAACACTTCCATATTACACAAAGTGGTGGAATTGGAATTTGTGTGTATAACATCTTCACATAACATTGGGTGTGGAAGTGTTGACAAGTTTAATTCACAAATTTGATCTCTGGTAGTAATGGCGTACTGAACCCGACTGCCAAAATGAGAACAGATCTGAACAGTTATCGAAACAGCCCATCCATGAGTCATTCATATACAGGTTTTGTGCAACAGGATAGCAAGATCATGAAATAAAACCACCACTTACACTTAAGATGTATGGGAAATTCCCAAAGTAATCACAGTTGACCTTGACCTCGTACTGATGTACCAAGTAATACCCATAATAATCCTACAATCTTCTAAGAAGATGCAGAAATATTTCATAGCACTCTAATAGATCACTCGGCATAATCTACTACCAGTTTTTCCATTAGTCAACACTGTCAAGATGTCTTGAGATGATTTCAACAACAATATGGTTCTGTAACTTGGTAACAGGAAATACTTGATATGAGTAACAAGTTGGAAGATAAGATGAAAAAGTAAGATTCTAGCACTATCTCAAGCAGGTATGTCATTCATCAGAAACTAGGTCCTATAAGACATTAGCCCACAGTTAACATCCCACATCACTCTGGAGTACTCTCCAGAACAATACAACCCACAGCTCCAAACTTAATCTCAAATGAAACATTAACAAAATCCCTCTTGATGCTGGAGCAAGAAGATGAGGACTAAGTGGATGTGAACCACTACCGGGGTGCTTTGTCACAGCACATATTGAGCAAATGTGAACGGCAAGTCAGTATTTTCAAGACAGATTCACTAAATTTTTCAACAGCCTAAATTTTCATCCTTCTAACAGACAATTAGCTTTTTGACACTGTGTGACCCTACATAGCTTTTCTCTATGCAATGTTTGACAATAAGATCTCAAATACAAGCAAAGCCATAATGTTGGTTTAATAAGAAATGCTAAATGAATAAATACTAGAAATTAGACTACTATTGATAGAATATGTATGCATCAAGTTCATCTTATGGATTAAAATGACAAAAAATGTCATCTTTACTTCTCTGAGTCTACAACAAATATCTAAATGTTACTTCTAATGTGTTTAACAAGATATACATATCAGTATAAACAAATAACACTGTAATATTGCAAATAAATCCAAATTCATTGTCAAATTCAACGGCATGATTGTTGTGTAAAGATAAGTCTTAGTAGCAATGTAATGAGGCAAGCATTAATCATGGTTCTAACTGTAAGCTGTTTTCAAGAACATCAGATCTTTGGGATTTCACGGAACAGACAGAAAGCTCGTCTCCAACTGAGATGACACTGTCACTGTCTCGAAGATACTTCGACCTTCTGGGCCTGGGTGTTGCTAACTCAAAACCTGTTCTTAAACTGCTGGGATACCGCTGTCTGCCCCGTCTTTGGTTTGGTGGGGAGCTGGCAGCTTCACATCAGTTGGTTCCACTCCCCAGATTTCACGAGCATATTCAGAAATCGTACGGTCACTGGAGAATTTTCCAGAGGCTGCTATGTTCAGTAATGCTTTCCTTGCCCATGCCAGTGGATTCTGAAGATTGAAAAACAAGTTTCAGTTAAAAACTGTGTATTTAAGAACTGACTTACATATTTTGCACACTTGAAGAAGTATAAACATTAAAAGTGGAGGGTACACTATGTATGTGGATATCTGCCACTTGGCCACCTCAGTTTTTACATTGCAACTCCTTACATGCAAATACTTTGGAAATCAATCCTTCCAATACATGCCAACAATAATAGCTTCTCAAACTTCTTATTTATTCATCAACACACAAATGTAGAAAATAATCAGAGCTATTGCTATCCTCTTCCACAGCTCCCTACAGAATGTCCTCCAGGCAAGTCTCATGACAGCCTTACAATAAGCATACGTATCATTAAGATACTGTGAAACAATTAATACACTTAGTAATTAGGAATGATAAGACAAACTGAAAGCTTGAAAATTGTTACCTTGAAGAGTTCGTTGACTTCATCTTGACTTCTTATATATGCTTCGTAGTCAGCCAACAGACGGAACCTGAAAACAAACAGTAGTTGAAAATCTAACTGAAGTGACAAGACATGAAGGCTGTTAGAAAATACGCGTTCAGAATCAGAATCTGAACTCATATACATTCTAAGAAAACGATTCAATACCTAAATAATAGAGACAAGCATTGTCACTGAGGTGACATAATCCCCCGCCGCAAATTATCAAATCAAACTTATAAAGTAATGAAAGTTTAAGATAAAGTTAAATGTCAACAAAAACATGACCAGTCAACCTCTCTTGATATCTTGCTCTTTAGTTGTTCAAACACACACATATTTTCAAGATTGACATTGACCTTGACATGAATGTCATAGTGTATGAAATATGCAAAACTAGTACTAAAGAAATTGCTTATTGAAAAACATTCAAGGGAAGTCTTGAAAGTCTATGAAGAAAATCCAGTGAACCGTTCTTAAAATATCTTGCTGACAATTCAGGTTAACATCCTAAAACCTTAAAAGAGTCCTCGTGACCCTAAAAGTTATGTGAAGGTCACCAAAATTGACTGGGCCCTGGGCCTTCTCTAGATGAAGCTTGGTGTCAAATATGAAGAAAATTCACTGAATATGGTTTTGCGATATCTTGCTGACTAACTTAACATGCAATTTAACATGCTGAAATCTTCAAAGTGACTCTGTGACCTTGAAAATTAAGTGATGGTCAACAAAATTGACTGGGCCCTGCGCCTTCACTAGATAAAACTTGGTATTGAATATGAAGAAAATCCAGCGAACGGTTCTTGAGATAGCTTAACATGCAGGTAAAACGTTAAAGTCCCCTTGTGACCTTGAAATGAAGGTCAAGGACACCAAACTTGACTTAGACCTTTCTTGTGATGAACCTAGGCACCAAATATGAAAAGAATCTAGTGAACGGTTCTTAAGATATTCCAATTCGTATGTACGGACGGACGACGGATGGAGCCTAATACTATATCCCCCGCTTCACACTAAACGCGCAGTGAGGGATAATAATGAAAAAATAATCATAATATTTGTAATTGTACCCACCCTTGATGAAACCGGAAGCACTTACGGCATGGCACCCATGGAGGTAAAACATGCACGAGTTGGAAAACAACCATTGATACATTTTCTAAATTGATTCAAATACCGGAAAAATTATTAGTAGAATTAACTTATTGAAACACCTTCAATGGGTTACTGTTAGCAGTTATCAACTGTAGTTGTCATTTTTTTCCTTTTAATGTATATTTTTTCGCCTCTGACTTGTATCAGTGTATAGACAAAAATTATTTAGAAAAAGGAGTTCATCCATAGGTCATCATATGAGTGGCCTTGACCATCTGCCTGTTTGTGGGGGTTGTAGACTTACCTATCATCGTTGACCAGATTGTTGAAGACGTCTTTAAAGAGATCTGGGTTTTCAGGGGAGAAGTATCCGTTGTTGATCTGATCCAGAACCTGCCTCAGCTCAGAATTACTCTCGTAGTAGGACCTTGGGTTGTACCTGCACACAACAATATAAAAAAATACTCAGAACATATCTGCCTTACTCCACTCTGTCCACTCATTTTTATGCAGTTTCTTAAACTTGAATTGCAGGAAACAATAGATTCACCACGGCAGTGACACCAAGGGAACAAAGTGATACATTAATGTTCAATAAGCGACCAGCCTGCAAAACATATATCAGTTGCCACTTTAAGGATTGATTAATGTTCCAGGAAATGCTACACAACTCTTCCACCAGTCCCTGTTCCCATTCCACAATGGGATCACAGCACCATGGTGATAGAAACCCACATGTAAACATAGACTCAAAGCATTATTCAATGAACAGAATTTGGATGCAAGTGGTGAAGCGAGACTGACCCTCTCCTGTTGAGCTCATCCACATCATCCACTGTCATTCCAAAGATGAAGATGTTGTCAGGGCCCATTTCTTCCCTCATTTCAACATTAGCTCCATCCAGGGTGCCAATAGTTAGAGCACCATTCAGCTGCAACAGAAACATTACTTTACATTCAACTGAACTGTTCATGATATCAATCATCACAATGGTCTCTTTGTCAGTTGGCTGAAAACTGATGTGTCCAATCAGCTGAATATAAAGTTACCCCACCAGATGTCTACTATACCAGTAAGAACCAGTATGAACCAGTTGATCAGTGAACACAGTGAACTGCAACATGGTTACACTGATCAGACATTTTACAAATGTGAAATAATACTTAGTCTTTTGGCAAATATGAAAAATGAGGAAGAACTCAAAACTATATTGATAGGAAGGGAGGTAGCCTTTAACCTGAAACCCCAAACTGGGCACAAACAGGCAAACAGAATTTCTTAAAATTTGGGTAATTTTAACTAAAAATGACGTAACAAAGACACATCTTGTCAGGTTTTTGCTGAAGTTCCAAAAACATATGAACATGCTTAATTACTAAGGAGTATGAAGACAAGTTTGACCTGTGGATTTCAACATCTATATGGAATTCATGACACATTTAATGGATAACAACTTCTTTTTTAAGTTGTTATCCATAAAACGTGTCATGTATTCATGTTCATCCCAACTTCTAAATGCCTTTCAAAAACAACATCTTTATTGTTTCACTTCAACTCATTGGCAAATGCTAGAACCTTTATTTGACTTCATCTAGTAGAATCTCCTTCAGGGGTGGAAATAACCCATTGCCCGACGTCCGAGTCAAGTGTTTTTTTCTGTCGGGCAAGCAAATTTGTATATCACCATGTACCAGTGTCCAGTTGACTTTCCAATGTTAATTATGTTGTTTACTTAAAAAAATCAACAAGAAAACGGCCGGTATAGTGGGAAAATTATCAGGTCAAGTGATTTTACATGTGCCACTGTACCGGAGAACACTAGCAATTTTAAAGTTATTTCCACCCCTGTCCTTTCAGTGATACTACAGCTCTAAAATTGTCTCTTGAAGATATCATACTCAGCATGCTTAGTACAAGAACACAAGATTCTCTGTATAAAGCCTAAACTTGCTAAACTTGTGAAAACAGATTAATGTATATATTCACAGATGAGAATACACAACTCCATGGAGGCCATCCAAGACCCATGTCATGTAACATTATCATTTCTGTAAGGAGCTCTACCTACCTGGAACTTCATGTTTCCAGTGCCTGATGCCTCAGTGCCTGCCAGGGAGATCTGCTCACTGAGGTCAGCAGCTGGGATGATCTTCTCGGCCAGGGACACGCGGTAGTTCTCGAGATACACCACCTTGAGACGGTCCCCGACAATAGGGTCATTGTTGATGACTCTTCCGACATTGTTGATGAGCTTGATGATCAGCTTTGCCATATGATAGCCAGGGGCAGCCTGAATACAGGGAGAAGAAGGCTTGGTTCTATTTCAAACTTGACTTATTTTTAAAGGCAATTTAACCAGGAAGAATATTTCAAATTTTGGTTACCCTGATACTCATCAAAATATAACGCTAAATTAGTTGATTTTCAGTGTATATGTAACAGCAACATTACCCGACATAGCAAGTAAATTGCTGCTGTAAACATTACCCCACATAGCAAGTATATTGCTGCTGTAAACATTACCCGACATAGCAAGTATATTGCTGCTGTAAATATTAACCGACATAGAAAGTATATTGCTGCTGTAAACATCACCCGACATAGCAAGTATATTGCTGCTGTTAACATTACCCGACATAGCAAGTATATTGCTGTTGTAAACATTACCTGACATAGCAAGTATATTGCTGCTGTAAACACAATATGAGGCATATGCGGGAGAAAAAATCCAAAGGACACGCATGGGCTGTAAACATTTACCACTTTGAAAAATAGGATACGGATTGAACGGATAGCTCTGAGATCATAATGTCACAAATATCAGAGTTTGTATATTGTAACTCCGCAACATTACAGCTGTATGATGGCTGCCTATACGTAATCTACATGAGACAGGCCACTGACTGAAACAAGCAGTGTCCTATGGCTGCCTATACGTAATCTACATGAGACAGGCCACTGACTGAAACAAGCAGTGTCCTATGGCTGCCTATATGTAATCTACATGAGACAGGCCACTGACTGAAACAAGCAGTGTCCTATGGCTGCCTATACTCTACTGAGACAGGCCACTGACTGAAACAAGCAGTGTCCTATGGCTGCCTATATGTAATCTACATGAGACAGGCCACTGACTGAAACAAGCAGTGTCCTATGGCTGCCTATACGTAATCTACATGAGACAGGCCACTGACTGAAACAAGCAGTGTCCTATGGCTGCCTATATGTAATCTACATGAGACACTGACTGAAACAAGCAGTGTCCTATGGCTGCCTATATGTAATCTACATGAGACAGGCCACTGACTGAAACAAGCAGTGTCCTATGTGTGATAGCCAATGAAACATTCTGCGGAGGGACTACAATAATTCACCATCATGACGTATTACTATAGTAATATGATATGACAAAGATACCACAGTAATTTGACATGACATATTTATTAGGGTAATATAACGCGAACAATTATCTGCAATAATATGAAAGAATTGGTCTATAACTTTTTTAAAGTAGTATATTATCAACCACATCACTAAGTATGTCTGACCAATCCTGTAAGTTACATCTTACAACCAGCATTGGCTCCTGAGCAACCTAGAATCTCCACAGGGCACAGGTTGGGACCAACTGGGCAGATGGAGACTGTAGCCACCAGAACAAAGGGATAACAGAACAGTAACAGAAACTCTCTCCCTATCGAGTTAAAATCATCTCCTTCCCTAAGTACATTCCAAACACGACTAAAGACTCATCTATTTCTCCGCTACAAGTGACTTCCAATCATCCGTACCTGCCAGCTGTATATAGTTTTAACTTGAGCTCAGGAAGAGTTTTGAGCATATCCCTGTGACGTGGAAAGGCGCTATATAAATGGCCTATTATTATTATTATTATTAACAGTAAACAATCTGAAAAGGGTTCTTTCCTAACTAACCCTACCTTTCCTCCGACCATGACCGTCCTGGGCACAAAGTCCATACTGGGGTCCTTCTTGAGACGGTTGTAGATGGTGATGACGTGGAGGCAGTTGAGCAGCTGGCGCTTGTACTCGTGGATTCTCTTCACTTGCATGTCAAATATTGAGGCAGGGTTCACCTCGATGTTGTACTCCTGCTTGATGTAGGCTGCCAGACGGATCTTGTTTTCCTAAACATACATTAGGAAAAGGTCGAATGCATTCTATGGAGTAGATAACTACGCTGAATACCTGTTGTGATACAAGTTAGACTGTACCAGTGGCTGTCCTTCAAAATGGTGTGAGGCTAATCAACAGGATGAGAACCCTGCTGTTAACATCACAGCTATGTACCGCTCTGCTTTCATGATTTGACATCTAATAGTTACATGACTATGATTCCCTCCTACAAAAGATCTAACACTGTCCAGCATTGATACTGAAACCAACCATGACGACCTCAGAACTGGTAATGCCCCTTAGTTCCAAATCAATGCCTTAATTACACCAAATATTACAACAACAAAAGATTGCAATTTGTATTGCATTATAACAACAGAGAGAACACTCAAACTTTGATCAAACAATATTTTTAAATAAAATAAACTTCAGGGGGAAGAAGACAAATTCCAACAAAACTATATTCACCCTGGCATGGCTGATACCACTATCAGTATTTAACAGGTTTTGTATACAATGCATTCCTTCACCAGGAATGATTTCATACATATAGCTGATTGGCAGAGTGAATGCTATTTATGATTAATGATCATGCCACACCCTGGTTAAGCTGGAGGGAAAGTGTTGAAACAAAATCACACAAATGGCATCATATACCATAGCCATACTGTCATCTGCTCTTCATAGTGCATTCAAGCACATGGTTGGCACACAGTTACCTGTCGCCAAACAGGCATATATCCCTGCCACACTGTAGATTGGCCACGGTGGCTATGGAGGAATGTGTCGTACAGAAACTCATGCTAGTGTTGTCCAGATGCTCACCTGCTTCACCCTCATGATTCCTCTCAGGAAGCTCTCGTCATCCACCAGAGGCTCCAGCTGACGCAATTCACTGAGATTAGTTACCCAGCCCTCACCGATTTTCTGTGTCAATAAGATGGGTAGTATGGATCAGTCATCGATTGGATTTAAACTGGCATTAAAAGTGATAACCATCGACAATAACATAGAGAGGAGGAGACAGGTGAGATCATCAGTACATGTAATTTTTTGAGTAAAATTGATATTTTATACTTATCCTGACTCATGCTCTTTTTGCTTGTCTCCTTCCTCTTGCGAACATAGTGGAACACTTGTATCTCCCTAATTGAAGTTCCCTTCAATGTAAAATCACTAATTAGTACACCACGAGTTACCTCCCTTCCACAAGCGCGGGAACGAGGGCGCCACCTCTACCCATGTGCCTCACTCTCTCCTCATATACTGAGCCCAACATTTGAATTTACAGGGAAATCCAAAGTGTTATTTGGGGAGGATGGGAGGGCTGACCTCATGAGTCAGGATAAGTATAAAATATCAATTTTACTCAAAAAATTACATATTTTTCCTTATCCTGACTCATGCTCTTTTTGCTTGTAGAATCCAACAGAGCGGAGGTGGGAATATATAATACTTTGGATTTTAATAATTAGTGATTTGAACTGTGATGATTGTAATAACCCTATGGGAACTTCATAAAGGCATTGAACTGATGAATTCCTGCTGCCAGCTTATCAGCTGCCATATAGAGGTTATTACAATGTACTTATTATGATAAGTATATATAATATTAATACAATGCTTAAGACTAATAGACTTAAGCTTGTTAATATGCTAGTATAAACTCCTTAGAGTTTGTTAGCTAAAATACTTTAAGATATAAACATAGCACTAAGCTTAAAATATGATTAATTTTAAGCTAATTATATAATAACAAACCTCTTTAGGGTTTGTTAGTTAAAATATTTATATGATATAGACAGTGCTGAGCTTAAGATATGAATAAGCTTAGCTATATATATAACAGCAAACTTTGTAGAGTTTGTTAGCTAATACATTTTTACAATATGAGTATAGTATTGTGCTTAAGATATAATTATCTTAAGCTACATATATAATAGCCAAACTTAGTAGAGTTTGTTAGCTAATATATTTTTACAATATGAGTATAATACTGTGCTTAAGATATAATTAACTTAAGCTACATATATAATAGCCAAACTTAGTATAGTTTGTTAGCTAATATATTTTTACAATATGAGTATAGTACTGTGCTTAAGATATAATTAACTTAAGCTACATATACAATAGCCAAAAACTCTGTAGAGCTTATTAGCTAATAGATTTATAATGTAACCATAGTACTAAGCTTAAGATATGATTAGACTTAAGCTAAATGTATATAGCAAAAAACTCCTTAGAGTTTATTAACTAATATACTTTTATGTTATAAACATAGTACTGAGCTTAAGATATGATTAAACTTAAGCTATATATATATAATAATAGTAAAACTCCGTGAGTTTGATAGCTAATACATTTTATTATGTTGATTTAGACCTAGTATTGAGCTTAAGATATGAAGTAAACCTTAAGCTAAATATATAATAGCAAAAAAACCTTTTAGAGTTTTAATAGCTAATATACTTATATGGTATCAACATAGTATTGAGCTTAAGATATGAAGAAACCTTAAGCTACATATGTATAGCAAAAACCCGTAGAGTTTGTTAGCTAATACATGATATAATGTAACCATAAAGCTTAAAATATGATGAAAACTTAAGCCCAATATATAATAGCAAAAACTCTTTTAGAGTTTTGATAGCTAATATACCTATATGCTATAAACATAGTACTGCTTTAAGATATGAATAAGCTTAAGTTACATATATAATAGCAAAAAACTCCATAGAGTTTGTTAGCTAATACATGTTATAATGTAACCATATTGCTTAAGATAATGATGAAACTTAAGCCAAATAGCAAAAGCTCTTTAGAATTTGTTAGCTAATATAGTTATATGATATAAACATAGTACTGAGCTTAAGATATGAATGAGCTTAAGCTACCTATATAATAGCAAAACTCCGTGAGTTTGTTAGCTAATGTATTTTTACAATATGAGTATAGTACTATGCTTAAAATATACTTGACTTAAGCTACGTATATAATAGCCAAAAAAAAACTCTGTAGAGTTTGTTAGCTAATGCATTTATCATGTAACCACTGTGATGATAAAAAACGAGCTTAAGCAAATTATATATAGCATGAAGCTATTTAGTACTGTTATAAGATAAGTAAAAATCTGTAAGATTGACTTATCTTCTCCGAGGAACTGTCAACTGTTGTGCAAGGACCATGGGATCAAATTGGTGGATACCTGAGATGTCCTCGGTGGTGATATCTCTCAGATAATGGTTGGCAACCACCATATCGGATCTACAGTAATAAACCCTCCATTATTTCAAATAACATTTGTGTAGATGAAATTGTAGAAGTTAAGCTCTAATATCAAGAGTATTAAAGCTCATGGAGGGTCGGATTAGGTCCATCTGTCTTGTATGCACGTAGTATGACAGTTCTGATCCAAACGGAGATATAGTACGTTGAGACTACACTCTATGTAAGTTGATGATAGAGGAAAAAAAATCTGTTGTATTTTTCTTCCTGTTTGGTTTGGTGGAGATAAATTTACAGTGCTCTTGCTGGCCAGCGTGATAGCATCATCGTATCATGGAGTCCAAGTATGTCATCCAGGCATGTTCATAAACCTCACTTGTGAGGTGTTGTAGCACTATATTCATATCCCCAAGTTGGTACGGAAACTTCCGCTTTATTCTCCAAACAGAAACTTAGTAGGTTTACTAACCATCTAGTTGTGTTAGTAGCTTGATGATGAAATTCAGGTGTAGTCTGAAACGCTGTGGATTTCGATCCACTTGTATCACGTCGTCTAGGTAAATCGCTATGCGATGTCCTTTTGACGATGTATGTGCACAACCGGAGTTTGTGTCCTCGATGAACTTTATGTAAAATCGCCTGACTGCTGTGCCCTTGTCTAAACTTGACAGGGGAGGTCTCTAACCTGAAGAAAGCAGCCTAATCCTGAAGGTTCAGGTTAACTGGGCTGTAAGGAGGCTTGCTCGCTCATTGATATAAAGTTGTCACTTGCAACCTATGTCTTGAACTGTGAACTATGCTCGACCTCTGTGTAGGGCGCTGTTCATCGGGTCCAATCAGAATAAGGCATTTTGATTCTGTAGAGTACCCGCTGTGATGTCACCGTGTAGCAGGAAAAGGAACCTTGTATAATATAGTGCCGCCGCTGATATTAGAACAATCGTCGGTCTTCATCGTAACTTCCTCGGGTTACCCGAAAGTGACCACGCGTTTCGAGGATTAATGGTAAACGCTACAAAAGCTTCGCCAAAAATACCTCGCCTGTAATATTAATGCTGGGTAGGTTATTTTCCTGGCTGTCGTGAAAGTGCTTCAGTTTTGAATATAATTCCGACTTCTTTATATATAAAGGTACAATAACTTGTAAGTTGTCAGCTTGTAGACTGTATACATGAATGTATCGTCATAATTGTAGAATTAAAGCTGAATTTGTTGTACATATTTCTTCTCAGAAATGTTGACGATTATGAGTTATACTCGCTGTAACAAGGCTGCTGTTCAATTTCGATATTGAATTGTCTGCAGATATGCGTAATGGTCACGCATGTAGATAATCGTGATCGTCGTCGGGATTGCATATACTAGCAATTTATACGAATAGTTGATTTCTGTGAAGATCTATGAAACGCCGCTGACAAATTAATACAGCGACGTTCTGTGTTGTAAATAGCCTGTGCAATTGTCTTCGCAGAGGCTTATAGATTCGCATCTGGCATACAGTTGATAGACAACTTATGCGATGTCTTGAACGGACTGAGGAGTAGCTATATATGACGAAAGGCTAGTATATGGAGACCTTGGAGGAGACTTCCTCGGTGAACGCCGGAGACTTCACGAAGCTCTCGGCATCCCTTCTAGATCTACTGGTGAAGTAGACTTGAGTTACCTTTAGCCTTCGCGACCTTCGGCTGGTATCGAAGTCAAAGTCCGATTAGAATATATATATATATATATATATAAGAGCGCTTTGCTTCGCTTAATGGCCTCTGTGTTTAACAGGATGTGGGTCGGCGGCGCTTACTCCTCCGCCGACGCCCCTTGTAGCTGGTGAGGCTCTAGCTCCTTCGCTGAGGCTGCCTGGGACTTGCTGGTTCTGCATAAGTAGGGCCGAGTGGATCATCTTATCATTTTCAGAAGTCGTGTTTACGAAAATCTGGCGATAAGTGTCTCAATGATCGCTTCTAGATCTATTTAGGCCAACGAACATACGCCTCGCCATGGATTCAACTGAACCAATTCTACGATTGTAGTTCTTATTGTTGATATCGATGATCAACTTGTAGTTTCTCATCGATGTCTTAAGCATTGAAGAAGGGGTCCATGTTGTGCGTGGAAAACTTCTAGGCGTGAAAGTTCGGCAATTATGGTGTCTGAACTTTTGTGGCTTTATGGGATGCTATGTCTAGATTCTGTGCTACCGCAGCAATCGGGTCGATCGGAGGTAGGGTGATAGCATCTGGCGCCGCCTTCCTTCATCAGGTATGTCTGCGCCGTACTGCCACTCTAGGAAGGTGATGTAGACTTGTGTGCAGACTTGTGTGGTAACCTGTGAGGCGATCGATGTGGTGATGTGACGAGGAGATCGGAGACTATTGACAGCTTCAGCGGCTCTTGAGTAGTCCCTTGACTCTGTTAAATGACGATCTATATTCGGTGTGTCCTTCCAGTGCCTTCGCTGAATGCCTTCGCGCTAACGCCATTTCAGCTTCTTCCTCGCGCTCGGGTGCTGGGGAACGGCGATTTGAGTCACGAAGGCTTCCGTGAGGTCTGGTGGCTGAGTCTGCATCTAAGGATGAAGCCGAGGAATGTGATGATCTATCCGCCAGCGAAGGCCTTCGCCAAGGCTGTACATCTGGGTCCTTCGTCAAGGTGGTCTGCGACTTCCTTCGAAGGCTGCATCGCCTTGGCTGCTACGCTGACTGGAGGTGCCTCTAGAGTGTTGTTCTAAGTTGGAGCCTTCGCGAAGGCTCGCACTCTGGGCTGGCTGCTTCTCCAGTTTGTAGTGACCTCCATCACCACCATGATTTGCCGTAGTAGCTCGTCTGGGATGGTCTGCGCGACGGCGTAGTCGGGTGCCATCTCTGCGCTGTTAGTGGTGGGGCCCCTCAGGTAAGTCGCCTGACATCAGTGTAGAGACATCAGGCTGCATGACGATCTCTGCTGATGTCATTGTAGCTGTCACCGGTCGCTACTTGTCTCATACGCCGGGATGATGATCGGCTGATCATCGAGAGGCCAAGTTCAGCGGCTGGAACAATCTCGCTTGAGAAAGTCCTAGTAGACTTCGCTGAATTCCCTCAGAGGTCGACGCTGCCCTGGGGTGCGGTCTGCGCTGAGTGTTGGTAGCGGCCGGGACCCTCAGGAAGATCATCGAATGTTGATCTGCGCTGACATCACTGTTGCCGACATCAGTCATTCTTTGATGTACATCAGGAATGATGATCGGCTGATCATCATACAGGCCCAAATCTCGCGATGAGAACAATCTCGCTGAGAAAGTTCTAGTAGACTTCGCTGAATACCCCTCAGTGCTTAATGGCGGGATGTCTGGGGAAGCAGGACGCTTTGGAGGCGGCGGATCACGCCCCACGCCTCCACCATTCTAGCGGAAAACCAGACGGGAGGGGGTCGACCAACAGCAGTAGACTGGCGAGGGTTTCAGGTGTATCAGTCATGCTAGACTCTGCATAATGCGACCTATCTGCTGCTGCCTCAAAACGCAAAGTAATTATTTATTAAAGGTAGAATTGATAAATTAGTATCGCGAACTGCAACGTGAATCACATGAAACATGGCGCAGTACAGCTAGGGCATATTAAATGCGGATCAGCAGCAGAATAAAAACGTAATGTGCAACAGTACAGAATTTTTATCAACGTAATCCACTGCAACAGCACGGCGGCCCCGTGCATAAACAGTAGAAACACGACTAAATATCAATATATAATTGTTGAAAGATACTAGCTAAACCTCTATAGATCTCTATACGAGGTAACTAACTAAATATAATCAAAGGATATAGTGTGTCGGGAGACACAGGCGCTCTCACGTCCAGCTCACTGGGCGAAGAAGGAGAGAGTGAGGCACATGGGTAGAGGTGGCGCCCTCGTTCCCGCGCTTGTGGAAGGGAGGTAACTCGTGGTGTACTAATTAGTGATTTTACATTGAAGGGAACTTCAATTAGGGAGATACAAGTGTTCCACTATGTTCGCAAGAGGAAGGAGACAAGCAAAAAGAGCATGAGTCAGGATAAGGAAAAATAAAAGCATCGTCCACATGAACATCAGGACCAACAACCACCTTACCTTAATAATAAACATATCATCATTTGTGTATATATATATATATATTAACATATACCTGACGAGGGAGCAAGATTAGCTCTGAAATGTTTTGCCAAAGAATAAAAGTTGTTGTCCCAAAACAACCAACTCAACAGTCACACGTTTTGACTTAAAATACATGAATTCAATATATCTTTTAGACAGTGGTCAAATGTAACATACCGTATATTACCGTCTATAAGCCGAACCCATAGATAAGCCGACCCCCAAACTTGACCCTTAAATCAGTGTCAAAATGGTATGTTTCATACATAAGCTGATCCCCCACGATGGGGTCCTAATCCTGGCAAACACAGACCACAGACAACTGGCAGTAACCAATAATTATAACTTTGGTCCACATTATTCAAAGAATTCACAATCATATTGCGTCTACTCACGCATCGAAATGAAGTGTAGTTGAGAGAAAATGGATAACATATTTTGTTTCGCTAAATATCATACTTATTGTAGCTGGACGATCACATGTCAACAAACTTGCTTGCTTATTTTACCTCATTCAACAATCACGGACTGACTACCGCCTCGTTTTCCATGGACTGCTAGTTTACAGTAACATCGGTAAAAATGTGTGAATATAAATGGCTTCCTTATTTTACCCCATTCCATGTGCGTACAACTTCCTCTTACCACGTTCATGAGGGTCCGTATAACCTTAGTGTTGATTATATATATGTTACATTTATAGAGCAAAAACTGTAATCAAAATTACACAATGCTAGGATATATTTTTTGGGGTTAAATAATAGTATTCTGTATTATATTTTACTGATGAATGCGTCAGAATTCATCCCGTTATATTACTGTGCATGTTTGAACTTGATCGCCGGGAAACATGTGCACAGCTGATTGCTATTTCCGGCTCAAATACACATGGTAAGCTTAATCTTAATTAATTTATAGAGCAAAAACTTGAATTAAAATTACACAATGCTAGGATATACTTTTGGGGGTTAAATAATAGTATTCTGTATTATATTTTACGGATGACTGCATCAGAATTTATCCCGTTATATTATTGTGCATGTTTGAACTTGATCGCCGGGAAACATGTGCACAGCTGATTGCTATTTCCGGCTCAAATACACACGGTAACCTTAATCCCTGCAAATAATACAATGCCCAGCAAAAACAACTTAATTTTGTCTAGAAATGTTTAATTGCAAATTTGACGTCTTTGACAAAGTTGTCTTCTGTTGTTTGTTCACGCGAAGTGATACGATATTGTTTTCTTATCCCTGGAAAAAAGTTTGACGAAAGCGTAACTCACAGATAAGCTGACCCCCTTCTACAGACTGCTTTTTTTATCCTCAAAATTCGGCTTATAGACAATAATATACATTATCTTATATTTGGGATTACACTTTTACAGTAAAGTACAGATATAAAACAAGACATAATGTGACTATTTCAATAGCTACCATCAATACTGTAGCCTGATTAATGCATTCTCTCACTTTCTACAACCTAAAGCCGTCAAGACCCCTCGGCCCCATGTTGGAGGTAACGCTACTCACATCAGCAATGGCATCAGACAGGCCGGGATTACACAGCAGCAGCCAACGCCTTGGGGTGATACCGTTAGTCTTGTTCTGGAATCTCTCTGGGTACATATCAAAGAAATCCTTGAAGCTGTCGGAGAAAACATTATGATCAGCAGCATATCAGATAGTGATCACTATTTTTGATTGAGAATATGAGTAAAGAGGTAGTTCAACCACTTTTTTTTATCTCAGCACATTATTTTTGCCATGAGAAGATTGAACTAAAAGCACTGAACTAAGGGACGTCTCTTGAAGGGAGAAAAACATATAGTTCATAATGTTCACAGCTGGTCAGTATGATCACTTCCTGAACTTGTTAAACCTTTTATTTATTTTATAGTGAACGCCAGTGATACAAGGCAATACCAGGGCTCGATTTAAGAGATGTTAACCTACTTGCATCAGGTGCAACCTAAGATAAAAAACCTAGTTGCACCAGCAAAATTCCAGGTGCACTGCTTTTATTGCAATATGTAATGTAAGAAATATGTTTTATTCAGAAGTTTACCCACTCAAAAATTGACTTGCACCTGTTGCAAGTTAGACTAAAAAACAGGTGGTACTTTATAATATTGGGTTGCACCAGTGCAAGCAAAAAGGCACTAAATCGAGCCCTGAATACAGTCACATGAAAATGCCTCAGAAACAATTCTTCATCTTCCTAAGCCTCACGTTTCTCTCTTGATGATCTCTGAGTGAATAGCAGCCACCCCGTTGACAGCGTGAGATCCAACAATGGCCAGATGGGCCATGTTTATCCTCTGTTCTCCATGCTCCTCCACCAGGGACATGCGACGAATACGATCCTCGTCACCAGGCCACTTCGCTCTCACTTCCTGTGTGCAACGGAGATGTGGTGGGAGGTGGGTTTAATCAAGTTTCAAAACCAGTTCAGCTTGGCCACACAAATATAATTTTTTGTTTTTGTTTGAAATTCTCTGTTTGGTAGGATAACATGAGTATTTCTTAAAGTAAAGAAGGACCACACATGGTGATGTATTTTGGGATATGTTATATACTGGGGCAAGATCAAGGCTGAAAACTTAGTAACTGTTATATCATAGCCTTATGTATTGTTATCAATGCAAATAAGCTGAACATGTAAGAAAAGTAACCAACTATCACAAATGATAATCAGGGCAAAGCTTGATTGACTCAAGTTCACTTGTTGAGTTCACAAGCAGGCAAAGGAACTAACTCTGCCAAATGAGTTGTGCTGCATTGGAAAACTCCTCACTAATAAAGATGACATTTTGTTTAGAAGTTGATTTAGGCTAAAAAGCAAAGAGAAAACCTGTGCTAAGACTAGTAAGAGTTGCAGAAGCATAACTGAAATGATGATGTCACTTCCAAACTAATGTATTAGTGGCAAGTGAATAAGCCAAAAGAAGGAATTAATATTGAGCCTACCTGCAAGAAGCGATGGTTGATCTCAAACATTATCTGCAGATGTCTGGGCAGGACATTACTGAGGAGAGATGTTGGCCAGCGTTCCAGGGCCTCAGGCAGGACAGTGTGGTTGGTGTAGGCACAGGCCCTCACGGTGATTTCCCACGCCTGCAGGGAGACGCAAATAGTGGCGTAAATAGCCTACTAGTTTCTGTCTCATCTGACACACGTGACAGTCAATGTGAAAATGTTGCAAGGCCATTACCATGAAGGGGCTGCTCATGGGGTTTGGCAGCCAATGCAAAAAATTTCTTAAATGTGAACCCCTGGGGGTTTTTTCAGGCTGTTCATACGGTTTGAAAAGTGAATGTGGTGCGAGAATTGCGCTCACGTGGTCCTGGATCTACGTACGGCTATAAAATTACACAGAAATGTAGAATATTAAATTTCCTATCCGTTGGTATAAATATAAGTGCAACTAACTCTGCGGTTTGAGAAATAGACCTTGCTAAATGTTGTCCAAATTTTTGTTATGCATTAAAAACAGTAAATTTCTCCGCTTTTTTTCGTGCACTGATAAAAGCACTGTGCTACAATTTTTTTTATTTTGCATCTTTAGGGAAAGTGTGAGCAAAGAAAATACAGCCTGATATCTGAACAACATAAGTGTATATGAATTGGGTTTATGTGCTTATCCATAACGTTATATGCTCAACATTAAAAATGACTCGCAATAAATGTCAAAAATGGATTTTCTTCTATGACGTCAAACAACAGAGAGGTCATACACGTATAATGATAAGGGGGCATAACTCTGTTATGCTTGACACTAGGTCAATGTAACTCAGATCACTTGGAGAGAATTTGTTGTTGATAAGGACGCTATATTTTCGTTATTTTTGTATTCACGGTGAACCACACTACTCTAATTCAAAGTTCCCCAATGTGAGCGGATACGCTTTGGTAGTTTCACAAGTTATAAGAAAAGATGACAACGTACAACATCTGAAAGCACGTAATAGCGATTTGGATGGCCCTGTCTGATATATAAGTTAGCTCTTAGATTCCCATATTCTCCTGTTTGTGTGGATGTATTTTGACTAATTTTGCATCGTTATTACCAGAGTACTAGCCATATCTTCAAATGTAATGAAATTGCTGAAAATAATACAACATTTTAGTTGACGTCATTGCTTGTTTTATGCATTTTGCGACGTCGGAAAAAGACGACATTGGTATGCTGATTAGTATATATCTCACCTAATTTCCATTAATTGTGTGAAAGGTCTCAGCTTCTATGTCAGAATTTAACACTCTTTAGACAAAACATAAAATGACTGATTTTTCCATGTAAATAGTGTCCTGAATATATCAGCAATTAGACGTTTTGACTGTGTATCTTATTGTGAGCAACACGCGCACCTGTTTGGCATCAATTCAAAGTAAATGAAAAACAACACTTTCACAACACCTGAATATTTTATTTAGGATACGAATTTTCTTTGTTTATGATTATGTAGCTATTTCTCTTCATAAGTATGCAATGACAGATCCAAAAAGATAGTTTTTTATATATGGAACTATATATTAGAATATGGATGTAAGATTTGTCCAAATTAAGACATGACATGGTTTATATATTTTTAAACAATTTTCATATAAATATAGTTAGAGTTTGAATTCCTGTCTTCACAATATTTTTTAATCAAATATGAATTGAGTATATTATCGAAAACAATGATAGTTAATCATAAAACGCTTCCGACAAACGCGCACCTGGCCAATCAATATTCATCTTTGTTTTGTCTATATAACAATTCCTTTAAATATATGTGCATATACATTTCATAACATATATAAATCATTTTCACTAAATATTATCAGTTTTACTTATAAGGTTGAATTAAATCGCCATTCATTAACCTGTTCATATGAAACTGTAATATTAGTCCAAATGCATTGAATATTGTACATCATAGGAACTAAAGCAGTTGCAGTTATGGCTACGTTTGATCTTCTAACACTTGTGTAAAGGTTTAGAATATGGTGTATTGCACTAAATGTGTCAATTTCTTATGTAAATATTATTCAAACAATCAAAAACTTTCAAAGAATAAAACACCGTAAACCCTATATGAACGTATGATATGATATTGGACAAGGCTAAATGTAGATACTGAAGTCAGTTTCATGAAAAAGTATCTGAACTATCCGCAAAATATACATCATAATATTGACAGTGTAATCCAAAGGGGTGGGCGATCGTGTTTACTCTTGTTCAACCGACCTTCACCTCAAAGAAATTGCCTAATATGTACAACAATGTTGACGTATGACATCACTACCGATGACTTATTTCTTACAAAATGGCTGCTTTGCTGACAAGGATACACAGGATTTTGCGAGGACCCTTCCATTGATGCAGGGATCATTTGTACATAAATATGACATGTAAGTAATCAGAATGATTCTCACTATCTGTGTATTGTTTTATGTTTTTATCATTTTCACTGTAAGAGAAGAAGCCAAAAATGCTGATAATTACAGCTGTCGTTCTGCGTGATTTTGCGTCAGTCATGGCGTCACACTGCACAGAAACTTTGACAATTTCTTATGAATTTTCATATCATTGCATTGTATCTATTTATACTTTCCTATTTCTTGCTACGATACTCTTTCCATGCATATTCCAAAGGTATTGAGCCATTGCAAGCAATGAATAGACGAATGAATGTTGGAAAACTTCAGAAAATGCTACGCAGTGTAAAATCGGAATTTGTCTTTGTTTACATTTCAAACAAGCGCAGTCTTTCGAGCACAGCGTTCATTTTCACACACAACATGTTTCGTCTCATTTTATCTAGACAGTTGGTATTGGTGACAAAGACCAGTTGAAATTCGGTTCTAAAATGTATGGGGAATTCAGTGATGCATTTTTCGAAGCTGAATATGAAATATACGTGATGTAATAGGCGTCTCAATAACGGCCTTCGCGAAACGTGATTTTGTAAACACTATCCAATATGGCGGAAAGCGCTCTAAGGCGTTCGCTGTAAGTATATTTTTGAAACATCCCAACCGATTCTAGATTCATTGGCAACATTTCAGAATTATCATTAGCGATTTCATCTAAAACAGATATCAGTGATCATGAAAATGTTATTTTTGAAATTCCATACTCCGAGTAATTATCCGATTTTCACATTTCAAAACACACAGCAAATAACGCTGTGAATCACGATTTCAATAAAGGCGACATTTTCGACGAAGCCTATTTTGAAAGGTCATTTTCGGCACTTGAGATTTGCCTAAAATAATAGTGGATGGTATCAAGAAACAGGAAATTTCCTGCAGAATTCGAAACTGTGAAGTATATTTGTGTGCATGGGATATTTTGAGTTTTATTGGACTTCAAAGTGAGGGTTGAAGGGGAAGGACATATATGTCCCTGTGGCATTGAGGGGGTTAAGTCATTTTCAACGGGTTAGGTGGTGGTGGGGTTTGGAACACCCCCTGCCCCCCTCTGGATCCGCCAATGATTACATTCCAGAAATCTCATCTCTCACTCCACTACTTTGATTGCCCAATCTAAGGGAATGATGTACAGATCCTTGAACCTATCAGAATTGGTTCCATATCTTTACCATCTTGAATAGGAAACCTTCATTCTAACGAACAAAAACCCTGATACAGTGAGTGAGTTTAATATTATGCGACCTTCAGAAATATTCCAGCAATATCACAGTGGGGAATTTACTTGATCAGACTGAAGTCAAACCATGGCAATATTGTCCGGACAAAGTATGATAAGTGACCTGCACACAGAAACATAATGGAAAAATTGCTGACAGCCGAGCATGTAGAGACAGAGCTGCATTGTGCAAGTCTGGATTAATTTGAGGAAAGAACATATTTTCTTATGATTAATGAATAGATTCCATTAAAAGATGGTCATACAAACCGAATATTGATATCGTATGTCTTTTATTGATTTCTAACAGAAACAGAACCTTAGATGAATGCAACATATAAATAGCTGACAACTCTAAGTTGTGATCTACACATCATCACTGAACAATACATATTTTGATACATTCTCCTTACTATGAAAACTATCATCATTCTTTGCCTGTTCATGGTAAAACAAATCACACATAATCTTAAAGAATGCCTCTCCTTGAAACATGCCACCCAAGTCAGTTTATGGCTCACCTTTTCCCATGGAACTCTCTCAATGTCAATCAGTATTCTCATGAGTTCAGGAATTGCCAGTGAGGGATGAGTGTCGTTCAGTTGGATGGCCACCTATGGAAAAATGTCACACATAAAGTCTTGAAGGTTCAAAGAGGTATTACACCACAGATCCTTACAGGTCCTAGATTTGGCAATGTTCAATTATTTCAGAATTGTGTGACAGATAGTAGTTTGATTTTCTTAAATTCTTTTGTACTAAGGCAAGGGGGATGAAAATCTATTAAGATATTGTTATAAAAGAGAGATTTATACTGACATATTCATTGTAAAATACATTCTTCCCTTTAGAAAAGTTTAAGCTCAAACAATGTCAACTTTTGTACTAAGGCACCCTGGTATCCTTGTAAATGTTTTCTTCTTGGATTATACAAAGTTTTAGAAACCAAATTTCAATTCAAAGCTGCAGCTATAGTTCGAAAGGACACAAATACTGCACCAAAGGACAAAATGCTGATGTTAACAAATATTCATTATCTGTAACACCATGCTTCACCTGCTCATGACACTTTCCAGGTGACTGAATAAAGGGGAGGTAACTCTCAACTGATGTCAACAAATCAATTACAAATATTTTTAGGCATCATCAATAAATACATTACATTTTTGAAAAGTGCAAAAGGGACAGTATAGTATCTGAAAACTCTTTCCAAACTAGTATCTCTATCAAGTTCCAGGTATTTTCAGGAGATTTACCCAGTACCCTTAATTCTACAGGTTTCAAGGCATTGGGGCATTTGGACATTAATTTGGACACTTTGGGATAGTTAGTCCACTCATATCACTAACCTTGTCTGGAAATGTGTCGAAGGAAGTCCTGACCGGATCTCTACAACCAAACCTAGAAGATTTGAACCTGCGTACAATGTCCTGCAGAGTGGCAGCAACAAGGAAGTACTCTTGCTTGAGGCGCAGCTCCTTGCCCTCGAACACCTTCAACATAAACATACTCTATGAGCACATCATCTGGAACAGTGCTAGAAATACATCCACAAAATCAGCCTTTATCTGATTATCAGACATGATTCCCGATGAACAGTGACATTAACATGGGTCGGAAGTTTACAGAAAAACTCTTCAAGTTAAAGACTTGGAGGGTTCCTGGATAAAATCAGGAGGACTCCAGGACATTCTTTAATGGCGACCACTGAGACATAAAACATATAGCAAACATTTCATATGTGTAGCACTGCAAAAATGTACGCTGTATAAATGAGGTCACATGAATAATGTAGATGTAATGAAAATCACACCTTATTGCTAATGTCAAAAATATGAGCACGACCACTCCAATACAGTGATTGAGTGAGGATGGTATAATGCTGCTTTTAGCAATATTAAATACATATCTCTGTCGGGGACACCAGAAATGGGCTTCACACATTGCACTCATGTGGGGAAACAAACCTGGGTCTTCGCTGTGACAAGTGAGTGAGTGAGTGAGTTTGGTTCTAAGCCACTTTAACAATATTCCAGCAATAAAACAGCTGGGGACACCAGTGTGACAAGTAAATACTTCAACCACTAAGCCATCCCACCGCCCCCAGATATTAACAGTTCCAACTAGAAAATGTACAACCAACAAAAACAACCATCCTAACTTTCCTTCTAAAGGCCATTAACCCTTCTGTTATCATCCATATACGGAAAACATTTCACGGTCATTTGCTTTGTAAATGTGATTGACATCTACAGATAACATGATCTAGTTTTTAAAAAGTGTTTAAGCCACATAGATGCACCAGTGTTCTATCCTCTATGTTTGGAATGTCTGTAGTGAGGTGAGTGTGCCAGGTGAAGAAAGCATTCCCCCTTGTATTGTGCCATGAGTGAATGATAGGACATTAACTGATGCATCTCTAACCTGGATAGTTGCCAACAATCTCCCTGACAATGTACTTGATAACCAACAGCTCCTTGTCTTTTTTTATTGTATTGTTTTCATATAACTGCTAACTAACAAGAGTCAGCAAATTATGGATATTATAACTTTGTTAGCTCTACAGGTAAACAAACAAATCTTCATACAGTGAAAGGGCAATAATGTTGCATACACTTCCTGTAACCATGGTAACAGTACATTATGAGAAGGCATTGTTCTCAAAGAGGTATCAGTTGCCTGAGGTAACAAGTACTGCATCTGATAGTTAATGGTTATTTGCATAATAACTGCACTAGAACTATAACATTTTTCTGACGGCCCCTGTCAAAGATTGAGCAGTCAGTTTTAAAAAAGACTCTAAACTTTCAGCTTTTTTTCTTTTGTCAACATAATTGTGGTTTTGGAGTAAAGTAAAATATGTAACCATGAAATGTCTCAATCCACTGGTATAACGGTACAAGTCTTCAATAGCTTGCACATGATAAAGCATGAAAACACAACAGGAACAAGATGTCCTTCATTGAACAATGTCAAAGTTCTATGGACAAAGAGCTTCTTTATTATTAGTTGGTTGGTTGGTGTCTAACGCAACACTCAGCAATATTCCAGCTATATGGCGGCGTTCTGTAAATAATCGAGTCTGGACCAGGCCATCCGGTGATCAACAGCATAGAGCATCAACTGGGATACAATGACATGTGTCAACCAAGTCAGCGAGCCTGACCACCCGATCCTGTTAGTTGCCTCTTACGACAAGCATTGGTTGCTGAAGACCAGTTCTAACCCGGATCTTCACGGGTTCTTTATCATTAACATTTCAGTGTAGATGCTAACACCATTATCAAGCAAGTGATGTACAATACTGCATATCTATGGAAGTTGTCTCGCTGTTCATCACATCAACTTCTAAATGCCACACAAATAAGCAGTCCTTCATTGTCTTGACACAACACAGATAGATTCTGATTCATGCAAAGATCTGGATGAAATGCAGTGAATCCCACAATGACTGACTGAGTATGGTTTTACGCCGCTTTTAGCAATATTCCAGCAATATCACGGCGGGGGACACCAGAAATGGGCTTCATAAATTGTACCCATGTCGGGAATCGAACCCGGCCCTTCAACGCTTTAACCACTAGGCTATCCCACTGCCCTGAATCCCACAATGAAGAGTATGAATATTATTTATTTTCATCACCATCAACACAAATATACCACAAAATTAGCAAAATGTACTTCATGTCAAAAGTTTAGACTCACTAGTGTACATATAGCCACTGATTTCAGGTAACTGTTCTAAACTAAATTTTGCAAACTATTCCATACTGTTTAAGGATACTGTTTACACATTAATTGATGTACTGTAAAACATATTTGTAACGTTGAAAAGATAATTTTCATGAGGTCAATAAATGATAAAAATCAGTGAAATTTGGCTAATTCTTAACAAAACTTCACACCAAAACGCAGCTGTTCACATGCACGATATTTGCACATGCTTTTCAGTAACTTGATGCATGATCCTCATGCACTTCATCTGCATAAGGTTTGCAGTTGGTTGTTCCAAGTTAGTGGAGAAATCAATCTTCGATGTAACCATATATATATACATAACATATAGTATGTGTTTTCAGTGAGTCTAAACTTTTGAAAGGAAGTATATCAGACAACAGTATAACGCACTTCTATGTTAGGTATCACAGCAGTGAGATGTAAATGATTTCAGATATGACCAGTGTGAGTATTGGGAGGGCAATGATCCGGGCAACACGATCAACACAATAACTTACATTGTCATTGGGGTACAACACACGGGAGATATTCTCAGCCAGATTCCGGTCACAGACAGCATCAATGTATGCGCCATTGTTGACTGAAAAACAGAAAGGTTTAACATCACTGTTTCACTCAAAGTCTTTGTTCTACATTTCTTGCACTCCTAGAGGTATCAGTACTGCAATGTTTAACTGGTTTTCCCCTCAACACTGCTAATAACACCTTAGAGAGTAAGTAACTGACTGTTGTATGGCTTGGATAAATCAAGAATCAGAATCTGGAAAAATTTGAAATTTGAACTTTGTCACACATAAGGGAAGCAACTCTACACTGAAATAGACTTGCCTTACAAGACTGGCAAACCATGTCCCTTGCTACATTAGTTATTGCCTCTTAAGGTAAAAATGTATAACAAAACATTTAACAGCTGATAAACATATCAAATCAATATCACTTAGCTGTAACTCTATGTAAATGCAAAAAGCAAGTATAAACTAGTGTCCAACTTTATTTATTCATAAAATGCAAACTTACAGAATCTGAGATCGAAGCTGTTTGGTGCCTTTGCTGACCACAGCCTGAGTGTGTTGACTGTGTTGTTTCCATATCCAGGGATAGGGCTGTCATACGGCATAGCGAACACTACCTGCAAACACAACCTCATGTTACAAACTATTTCTTAACTACAGGTTCAGACCTGGGACAGGCAAACAATTTGACAATATAAACTTGATTAACTGCACCACAAAATAGAATCTGCTCCTGTTATCAAGCATGAATTCTGTGTAGAAACATGAAGACGAAATTTCAAAATCAACCATAAAAACCAGCTGTTTAGATGACCTGAAAGCAGGGCGACCTATAATCCGATGTTAAGTCTACCACATATGCACCCGTGAAGATCCAGGTTCGAACTGATCTTTAGTAACCCATGCTTGTTGTAAGAGGCAACTAACGGGATCTGATGGTCAGGCTCACTGACTTGGTTGACGCATGTCATGGTATCCCAGTTGCATAGAATGATGCTCATGCTGTTGATCACTAGATTGTCTCGTCCAGACTCGATTATTTCCAGACCGCCGCCATAAAGCTGGATCATTGCTGAGTGTGGCGTAAAACTTAACTCACTCACTCACTATACCAAATGTACATTTAGCCAACAGTTTTACAAATACATTAAAACAGAATGTTTTGTCTGTCACTGACCTGTGAATCTACCCACTTGCCATCGCTTAGACTACCCTCAGCCCGTCCATAGAAGTTCACAGGCAGCATGTACTCGGGGCGAGCTTTCTCCCATGGGTTGCCATAGCGCAGCCAATCATCAGGCTCCTCCATCTGAAACACACACCACCACAGCACTGTAGTTCATCTGAGCATCACCTATGGCTCGTTTGAACTTGGGTTCAATGTTGACGATATTTCTGACTCATATTCGTCAAATGTACCTGTGCCATTATGCACTTTCTTGCCGGTGCCAACTGTTACAAATGGACCATAAATTACAACATGCAGCAATGAAAACATCGACTGGAACTCTAACGTTGTTGAGCGTTGAAAACAATGGCGGCTGGTAGCATGGGCAAAGGTCAAGGTTGAATGTCGTCACTCTCAAAAGCGATGTCATCTGTTTTGTTCTATGACGTTTTTATATTTGTAAAAAGTGTGTCAGTGACATCTGTCGTTTGTTGTTAGTAAATGCTTCAAACCTGATACCGTTGTTTGTTTATATTGTATTAAATATTCTATTCATTTTAGCAATAATATAAACCTCGGTTTTTTCAACTGCCCTCCTTCGTCGGGCAGTTAATGAAAGACCTCAGGCTTCTGCAAATGATAATGCCCTGAAAAATAGCGTTACCCTTATATTATTTAACAATTTCCCTATGCAAAACTGTAGGTGACTTTCTCACAAGGATGAATTCCATGGACTTTGTATCCTCTGAGAAAAATAATGCTGTTTTATTATACATTTTAATGTTTGCCCCCCTAGCAATGATAATTGTTAAACAAAAACTCAGATTTTATTATCTGTTTTTGTTTCATTTCTTAAAAAAACAAACAGGTGCTAGAACATATCCATGTTACTCCTTGTGGCCACTCAAGCCAAGCTCTTACAAACAAACACTTTGTTAATAGGGGCCTATAATTTTCAAACTCCCTACCAGATCCAGAAGCCTGAACAGAGGCCAGCTTACCTGCCAGCCCTCATTTATCTTCTGTGTGAAGATGCCATAGTCGTAGCGGATACCATAGCCGTAGGCAGCAAGTCCCAAGGAGGCCATGGAGTCCAGGAAACAGGCAGCCAGACGACCAAGTCCACCATTTCCTAGACCTGCATCCTCCTCGATCTCCTCAAGTTCCTCAATGTCAAGACCAAGCTGAAGGAAAGGGCATGGGTTCAACAGCAAACATCATGGTGATCATAGCGTGTTAAATCAGCAGCAGAAATATACTTGGATAATCATTCTCTAACAAAGCACACACAGGACACGTCTAACAACTGAAGTACTGTTTCGGTTACTGTTGGGATAGTTACAATTTACAGGACCAGAGCAGTTAGGCTGAGGTCCTCATGATTTAAGCATTAAGATCGAGGTCTTCAAGCTTAGAGGACTAAGACTGAGGTCTTCACGATTTGAGCACTAAGACTGAGGACATCATGATTTGAGTACTAAGACCGAGGTCTTCATGCTTAGAGGACTTAGACTGAGGTCTTCACTATATTACTTCCCACATCAATGGTGTTGTAAGCTAATCCTTCTTCCTCCATATTAGTTTAACATAGTGTTTTTAACATCAGTCACTAAAAACACACATGGGCCTTGAAATATTAAAGTGCAGCTTTACCTGGTACATGGCCTCGTCACAGGAGCTCTGCATGCCCAGGTTGACCATGGTGTTGGAGAGGGTGCGCCCCATGTAGAACTCCAGGGAGAGGTAGTACACACGCTGGAAACAAACACCTCATGTAATCACTGTGAAACAGATGTTCATAAGTACTTCTTTCTCAATAATATATGCTATGAAAGGTTGGGTGAATTAGGGCGCTATAAAATTCAATGCTGACACTTTGTGTGCAGAACAAACTACAGAAAATTATAAAAGAGCTGGAAATTCTCAATCTTCGCGTGTGTGTAACACATGTTACATTTGGGATTACATTTTGTCTGTATAGTACAGACTCTAGCATTATTTGGGTCTGACTCCCATGTGGGATTCAAACTCATGTTCACAGAGTGAGAGGCCTATGATCAAACCGACCACTGCTTCCACATCAATGGAAGTCTGACAACTGGCAGTCCAGATCATGTACTTTGTGTACCCCTCTGACGAGTGTCTTGTAAATAATCATTACAAGACCTATTGCATGCAGCTTTGAGCATATCCCTGTAACGTGGAAAGGCTATATAAATGGCCTATTATTATTATTATTATTATTAAGGGTAAGCATCTAATGTTCTCTATCCATCTGAGCTACACACTTTTAATGTCCCTCACATTATAACAAAAATCTGCAATGGATAAACAAATTTTCATATGAATACAATGTGTCATGTCAGGACAAAATTGGCAATATTAATGTGAATAAATTGGGGTGTTTTTAACTTCTTTTGAGAAGCATGTTTATGACTGTAAAGTATATTGATACAAAATAAGAATATTTGAGTATATATAGCTACATAATTTGTCTACAATCAATTGTCTGCTGCCCAACCACCTACAGGTTGTAAACACCCTAGACCATAAGCACAAAACCATTACAGCATCGCTCACTACCATTAGTAAGGGTGGACGCACACTACATCCAATTTTCCGTGTCATGTGATGCATTGTGTTGCTTTTTTCTCGCTCACACTACATGCGTTTTCCTATTGCGTTTGTAAATAAACCTGTAAATGCTCCTTATCTATTAATACTCCTTGATAAACCTTATCTATTAATACTCCTTGATAAACCTTATCTATTAATACTCCTTGATAAACATCCATTATTTACATATGCATATTTGGCAAACAAGTTAAACATATTAAACCTATGCTTTTCCAATTTTTAAGAAAAAAGAACTACAATTTTTTTATTGTATTGTTGTTCTCGTTCATGTTATGAAGGGAGAATAGTAACCGCAGCATGTCACTGAAAAAGAATTACTGTAACATTGTGAAGCTCATATCATTGGAAAATACCCCTAATTGTAGCAAAATAATGACGTCACAAATGGAATCCCATACGATTTCAAATGCAATGCGATGAAAATTAGGTGCAGCACCTAACGCATCGGATCGCATCACATTGATGCATCGGTTGTAGTGTGGGTGATCATAGTGAAATACATGATGTGAGTTTTTTAATGCATTGCATAGAAAATCGGACATAGTGTGCATGCACCCTAACAAGTAGAGATTGTGTCTCACTACCATCAGTAACAGCAAAAGGTTTGTGCTTCATGTTGCCTTGGTAGAACTGAAATTACCATAGTAACTTTTCAATGTTGAGCTTGATGCTAAATTTAACACTTGAAACCTGACGTTGCACATTCAGATTCTTATCTTATTTTCTCCTTAAATCTGCAAGTAATACAGCTCTTCATTTAGCATGTTGAGTACACATTATGTTTCTCCTATATTTGATCAGTGTTGGACAGTAACAGCAAGTCATCCTGACTCAGTAGTATCATGTTTATACATGATCATTCAGTATTTCATCTATCATTTAAACATGTCAACCAGCTTGGTGTTGTTTACCATGTTTATAAGGGTGTCCTTGATAAACAGGATCCTCCCGCTGTCAACAACCTACAGTATTTCATCAACACCTATGTATCTTTCCAGCATACTAATTTACTTGTTATTTTCAAAACTAAGCATTTTCAACTAATATGAGCTAAGTGAAGTCTAAGACTGATATTTTGTCTGCAGCTTCAGGAACTAGGATGAAATAATATGATGCTTTCAGGAAATTGACCATCATGATGACACGATAGTTATCTCATAACAACATGACAGTTATAAGTGGCTGTGGCTGTATCATGCATCTATTGACTTGTCTGCTTTGTGTCTAACATCGAATGTGGCCAAATAAAATAAAGTTGTGGTTCCATTTACATCTCTTTAAAATTTAGGGTAGGTAGGTAGGTAGGAATTCTCTATTTTTACATCTTTTTTTTTGTAGAAGTAAAGTACGAACTAATAACACATTTATTCAATCAAGCTTGCGGCCATCATGTCAACCTTCTCTATCAGAATGACCAATGTCTGTTGGTGCTGGGAAAAAACAATGGTATCTGAAAGCTTATTTTATTCATACCTCTTTAAAAAACTAGGGTCGGCACCAGAATTCAAGGGTCCATCGGGTAATTGGAACCACAACATTTTTTTTTAAGGCCTGTTTCATATAAAACACCCAGAAAATTCACCACATAAATTCAGGTTGTTTAAACAAGACCAACCATGCTAGCATTGAAATTGCTGCAAATATTCTGAGAACAATCAGTCTTGTCCATGTTAACACTGACACTATTAACTTGTTCATATTAACTATCTAACCTATTTCATTAGCCAGCTAAAGAGAAATTGCCACCACTGTTTACCATGTTTATGAACACAAACATCAGATGAAAATGATGTTGACTCATCAATCAAGAACACAATATCTCCTTTCAAAAACAAGCAAACAAATGTTCTATAAGTAAAAATAAAAATAATAGATTGAAAATATGCATCTTGTGTCATATTAGTTGGTGATTTCTGGAAACTATGAACATGTTTTCTTGATTACCGAGCCTCCATATGTTTGACCAAAATATATATACTACTCTGGCCAAACAAATAATGTAACATGTAAACTGTGACAGCATGGAAATCCATTGTTTCCTTGTTACCATGGTAACACTCCATCTGGACAACATCTGCCGCTGCTGGTTTCAAGTCAGACCTTGCCTCCCAAGTCAGTACCTGCTTCCCTACTCAGGATCACCTACCATCTCCACAGCTCACATCATCACCAACACACTTACCGCTTACATAACGGTATAATTCTTACCATCTTTAATCTTACATCACTGTCCATCACAAACAGCAATCCCACTGCAGCTCATTTCAAACCAATGACCAGGGCTCCAGATAAGTTTTCAACATCAGGAGTACGTACTCCATATTTTTTCAATACAGGAGTACTGGAAAACCTTAAGAGTACATTTAGAGTACTGAATGGAATTTAATGGAGTATCAGTAATCTTGGGTTTCGTTTCATATATGCACCACAACATTGCTATGCTTAAGTAAAAAGGTAAAAAACAATAAAACAATAATGTTTCAGAAAAATACGTCTGTAAATGATTCTAAGACCGTACACCATTGCTGTGGTGCATATCTTCTCGTTTTCTAAATTATTTCCTACCGTATCGTGCATATGCCGATACGGCCCTTATCTGGAGCCCTGCAATGACTATGTAAAACAACAATATTTTGGGGAAAACAACTTGTACTGGACTAACAAACAAATGTCAATGTCTGTCTCTGTTGAGTCTGTCAATGCTAAATATATAATATGTAAGAAATTGCATCATTATCCACAGTTTTTCTTGGGCTTATGCAGTAATCATGATGGTGTTCATGAACATTGTTTATTACTATACAAACAAATATTCCCTGTTCATAATCCAGTCTGGGCCACACAAACCAGTGATTGATATCGTGAGCACATTCCACACAGTCAAGGTACAGGGACACTCAGTCAACCAAGTCACCCAGCCTAACTGCACAGTCCATTGACAGCCTCATATGATCAGCAAAGATGGCAGGGTATCATCAATCAGTGTTTGTCTTTGGCATAAACACTTAGGACTCACCATGACTCGTTGGTGTCATGAGAGGGAACTGGCAAACATTTTAAACTAAGTAGTTTTGAACAACAGCAAATTACAATACATACTCATACTTAACTAAGGGCCCAGTAGCATTGCGTCAACAATGACACAAGCTTCTAAATTCTCAGCATATTTGAGATAATTTGTGTGTCAAATACACAGGTTTTCTGCGTTATGGCAAACACTGTATCAATTCTAAACAGAGTTGAAAATTAATTGTAACTTCCACATATATTAACTGTTGCTGTTTACAAAATACAATGTAAACTGCATTTGTCCAATACAGTATCTTTTGCCACATGGATCCCTTAAATCAGTTGCTTGTTATATTGAGTGTGACAATGTACATGATACAGACAAACCTGCACTACCAGAATACTCCCTGAGGTGAGACGGGTTGATTGTTATGGGTCAAGTGACATCAGCACATAAAACATTTTATGCATTGGTGTTCAACCACCCCTCTTAAAGTCAAACAATGGCATGGTTTAAATGAATTATATTTATCATGTGTAACAGCAACAGTTCAGTGATTCTGTTTCATTAAAACCTCATAAACATACACAGTTGTACAATTATTCAGCCATATATTCATCATGCTGATTGTGATGAAATGAAGGAATCACCCGAGTAGCAGAAACTGAATTCTTTATATGTTGGTACTTTTGGTTCCATTCTTCGAATGGCTGATTTATGACTATTATCATTATGACATAACAGGAGTTAACCTATTCCCAAGTTAAAACCATGAGGACTTCCATCAGCACAGACCCATTGTCCATCTTCTGATGGTCCAAGGACTGACCTAGAGCTGCTCATTTCCTGGTCCTAGACATAATCCTGATGAGTAGGAGGCTAGTGGTACTATCATGATGTCATAACACTGCACATCCTCTAAATGTTGCTGGTAATTATTAATGATGATTTCTATATTCTATGTATTAAACAAATGTGATCAACATGATCATGAGGCAATTAGAAATATACAGTCCGTAATTTAACTGTATATTTGGAAGAGAAATATCAGTTAACATACTATGCATGCTATAACTGACTTAGGTACACGATTCACATGTAATTTTGC